GGGGGGGGGGGGGGGGGGGGGGGGGGTGTGTCACGTGAACATGATGGTTTCCCCTTTTGACACCAGGTGCCATCCGCAATTGTTTAGTTGGTGAAGTAGAGCTTGCTCAGTATCTTCTAGGAATCGTTAACACGAGTGATGAATTCAAGAAATGGGCAAAGTTGGTTGCCATTGAGAAAGAGACAGTCATAGCAGCTGCTAACAATGGCTGCTTTGGCTCTAAGAAAACACAGAGAACGCGGCAATATTTGACAGATCACACACAGGTATAGTTCCCTCATTGCATCGTACTTTCCTTCGTCTCACTATCTTTTATCCCTTATTACCTTTTTGTCCGTCCTACTACTTTTGTTCTTTTTACTTCCTCCCGCCCTTATAAATAGTTCTCTTGCACTTGTTCTATAAATGGCAAATGGAATTTGATTTAGAAAAGCAGAATTACATTACAACCCAGGCATTCAATTAATACTTGAGAGCTCGTGTCAAAATATATAAATAAATACGGAGTAAATAGAACTTGAGCTAGGGGTTTTCAGGGTCTCCGAGCTATTTCTTAGTTCCTGCATTTTCGTCTCTGAAAAAAAAGCTGAGAATCAACCCCTCTCAGACTTTATATTCCAAACTACTTCTATCCAAAACGAAAGCCGATATTTTTTTTCAAAACAAATCCGAAACACCCTCCCTACATGACAAATGTTTGTGCAGGATTTTATTGTGAACAATGTCCGGAAAACTTTGTTCGATGCTATTGCATCCTTCAAAGGAGATCTGGGTGATGAAGAAAGCTTGCTGCAACTCATCAAAGTGGAGTTTGCTAATTTGGGGGAAGCTTTTTATTTGCCTTCTGAATCAGGAGCTGATTTGCACAAAATTTCTGCTAAAATTTTGAATCTATACCGCACTGGAAGGCTTGGCCATTATTCATTAGACCTTGTTCCAAACAAACAGTAGCAGCGGCCGTTGTGGTGGTGGTAGGGTGCATCGTCGCCGTGGATTCGCTCTTGTTATTTGGCTTAAATATATGTTTTAGTTTCTCCAAATATACAGGTTGATGGGGTGCGGGTGCTGATAAGAGCGTGACCAAAAAGTGATGGGTGAAAATGCGAATTATTTTTTATTTATGTATGCAATGCCATATCAACGTTACATTTATTGCATAGACACAACCTATCTTCGAGAAGGCATTTGGCCATTTAGGGCGAGTGGGCGACATGAAAAGCAGAAGCAACTGATACTCATGGAAAGAGTTAGGTGTTTGGGGTAACTACTTATGACTTTTTGTTTCACTAAAATAGTGTTTGTCGTGTTTGTCAATCTGTTTCTGCTTATAGATTATGGCTTTTGCAGTCTAAAATGGGCTCTAGAAGTGCTTTTAAGCAAAGCTAAAAATATATGTTTTCCGCTTCGATTTAAAACTTCTGCCTTTTCAACAATCTACACTCCCAAACACCCTCTTAGTATAATTTTTGGTGTTATTTTTTTAATTTCTAATTTTATATCGTACACATCATATCTTACTCTATTACTCCTTCCATCCCAAATTGATTTACCTCTTTAATATTACGGTTAGGGGTATGCACCGTTCCAAAATTGGACCGGACCGCACCGCACCAGAACCGGAATCAGGCATTTCTTAAGACCGAAGACCGGACCTGTTGGTAACAAGTCCGGATTGGTCCGGCCCTGAATTTTTCGTCCCAGTCCGGGTTGTAATATTATGGACCGAATTTGTTATATTCAAAAAATCACATAAACCAAAACTTGTTATGAAAATATGCACAAAATTGACAAAATCATGATTTAATATCTCCACAAATTCATACCAATCACAATGGAGAGATAATTGATAGATTCACAAGGTAAATTATATTTAGTTCTTAAGTTCACAATCCATTAATAAGAAATTCTCGAATCAAAGTTCAAACTTCAAAGTAGAAAATTAAAAAGACATAATTCATAAAGTCAACAATAAAAATAGTTTATCATCTCGAAATTAAACACAAAATAGGAAATTGAAATTCCCCGACTCCCAATAACATAAAGAACATCATCATTTAAGAAATAACAAAGTTAGTGGGCAACACACAAGCTTAGCTTCATTCAATTATGGGCGGACAATATCTTGAACCCGAGGGCAGGTCTCTCGCCTATGCTGAGGATTATGCCGAGGCCATGAAGCGTGCATGTCGAGTATATATGCCCTGATGCATGCATTGTATATATGTGGACTTTGTATTGACCCCTTGGTTTAATATTTTATATTTTACCCGTAAATTCTAAATTTAGCATTATTAGAATACTAGGACACTAGGTCCTTTAATTTGAGAAAATCTTAGAGATTTTCATACACACACACACACAAATTAAAGCATTTATTCGATTAATTTATTTAGAGTACACTGCATGCATGCATGCTGGGCCATATCCCACATGAGTAATGAAGGTCCGGCCATATGAACGTTTATTATTACACAGACGCAGCTGGCATCTTCAAGAAGGGTGCGGCATTTAGGGGGACATTAGAGGCCGCCGAAGCAACAGAGTTAATGCACCATCCATATTCGATGTCGGGGTTAGGGTAACGGGCACACAAGTCGCCGCTCCCTTTCTTCATGCACTCCTCATCTGACTGGCACAGGTTCGGGTGCTCCTCCGCCATCCTCCTCTGCCTCTCATCAACTCCAGATGGGTATACACACTGCCCTACAAACAGCCCCCATGGGATGCACCGGCAATCGGTGCTCCCGCACGGCGGTGACTCGAACGGTGAACAAACTCCGCTGCAGTCTGCGCCACGTGCCCTCTTCGTCATCGCCACCGTCGCCACTGCAGCATATATGCACACACGCAAACTAAATGATTCTGCATTTAAGTGAAACGGATGGATATTTGTGCCCTTCACTTAATTATTTCTTTCGCTCTTTATAAACATCTACGGTAAACACTACTTTTTGCATTTTTATATAGACATTTTGATATAGTTTTTAAACATAGACGGGGTATAATAAGTGATGAGTTCATGAAGGGTATTTTGATTTTCAGAAGAACGTAACGGAGTAAATATATACGGAATAATAATTTTTATTTCACTTTTTTGCGTAGTGAAATATACTCAATTCGTCCCAAAAACTCCATCCTCTTTCTTTTTTTACTTGTCCCACAAAATTCTTCACATTTTAATTAAACAACCACCTTTACCCCTATTAATTTTTGACCTGCGTATCACATCATATACTTTCACTAATAATCTACACATCACATTTTACTTTTACTCATCACATCAAAAGTATTTTTGGAAAGTCAACACAAAAATATCTCTACCTTAATCTTTTAAAAGTCAAAACGGGGGCCTCTTTTTGGGACGGTGAAAGTATATTTTATTTTGACATCGAATAACGAAAAAAAGTGTAACAAGGGTATAATGGGAAGAGAAAATGAAATGCTACAATGGATCTAGCTACATACAGGAAATGGAAAGGAAGAAGAGAGCTAAAGGAGAGAGCCTGATGTGAGCCATCATATATATAGCTATAGTATGAGTTTAATTATTTCACGACCAAGTTTTGTTTTTGTTGGTTCCATCAAGCAATATTGTACACTGCCTATTTATAGGCACGCACGTTTATTGCACATTGTCTTCATCAACAAGCTAATTAATTACAATGTGAAAACTTAATGGGCATGGGTGCATGCATGCATGCATATGGCTACGCAAGGTGGCAGCATTACATTTTGCAGGAAATTTAATACTCCATAAATGATTTGTCGTCCCATCGTCTGCATGCATCACACGAAATATTTGTCACCAATTTATATTCTCTTTTCCTCTTTTACTCCCTCCGTCCCAAAAAGATTTACAAGTTTCAAAAAAATTGCATCCAGCAATCCTTTACCCATTTTTATTAAAAAACGACTTTCTCCATTCCTTTTTCTTTACTAATGAAACTTAGGATCCGTCTGGTATACGGAATTGATGGAATTGGAAATGAATTAGAATAAAAATTCCATGGGATTCAATTCCATAGAATTGATTTCACCAATTCCAATTCATATTTGGCACTATCAATTCCAAATCTACATAATTTTGTGTTACCAAACACCAGAATTGGAATTGAAGTCCTCAATTTCAATTCCATATTTTGAATTTCGTGTACCAAACGGGGCCTTAATACTTGACTAAAAATATCTCATTATCAAAAAATATTTAAAATTTAGTACCTTCGTCTCTAAGTATTCATCTAATTTTGATTTTTTGTAGTCAAAATTGACATTTTTTTTGCCACTAACGTGATCGACCGCAACGGATAATGATCGGATACAACATCGGTTTGAAGACGGGCCGGCAGCAAACGCCCTTCCAGAACCCGCGGCCGCTAAATTGATTTGGTAATTATTAAAAGAATATTTGCACTTAAATAGCACTAAAACTTAAGTCATTTCTCTAAATAGGACTTAAACTGTTTTATTCCCTAAATCGAATTTAATAATGTCCAGTGATGACGAACATTTATTTGAATAATGACTAATAAATAATGACTAAATTAAAAGTGTTACATTAGAAAAAAAATACATGTAATGCTATTTAGGAAATTAGAAGTCATTCTGTTTTAGTGTTATTTGCGTAAATTTCCCTAAAGAAATAAATCAAAATCAACAATTTTTTTGTAATCATCCAAAGTCCCCGGAGGGCAAACCAAAGAAAAATAACAAGTAGCACAACGATTTGTGAAGGGAACTTACGGGGACGCCGCAAGTACCGACGGTGTAAAATTTTGATGGTGATACTAAAACAAGGGAATTGATCAAATTTTGGTGATGATAAGTGGTTGTGGTGCCGCCGTCGCCGGAAAAACCACGGCTGCGGAAGCTACACACTGGAGCAAATTATGGTTTAGTTTTCTCAGGTTAGCTCCGATATCAAGTAAAAATATTATTAGAACCAAATTGAACTTATGATTTTATTAAACACAGATGCGGTATAAATAGAGTCCACTTCGAATTAGTCTAACATAATTGTGAGCCCATTCAAAACAAGCCCATTAACCTAAAATTTTACCAATTACATCAAAAACAAAATTCAAAGTCAACTACAATTTACAACTACCTTATTTTACACTTGGTCAAACTAGGAATTTTTTTGGAGAATGGAGAGAATATAAATTTAAGTTCTACCCCTCAAAAAAAGTTCTATACTCCATGTATATTTATTATACTCCGTACTACGGAGTATCAATGAGGCGCGTGATCTTCTTTCGCGCCTCACCACCCCTCTTCCATCGTATGCAAACATGACGTGACTCGCCGTTGCCCTTTTGCCCGTGATGGCCATCACTTCGGGCACGACTCTAGGAAAGGCCCCCCCTCCTCTTTTCAACCATAACACATACTCCCTCCGTCCCTCTGTATTTGTCCATATTTGACTTTTGGAACTGTTCATCTAAGCACTTTGACTCATCAAATTCTCTCAATGTGTAAGCCTAAATATAGTCATGTGTGATCTTGTTTGATTTGTCTTAACATATAGATTATTAACATATAGATTATTAGTATATAATTTCTACTCCCTCTGTCCCGGAGTATTCGTCCAGTTTTGACTTTTGGATCTGTTCATCTAAGCACTTTGACTCATCAAATTCTCTCAATGTGTAAGCCTAAATATAATCATGTGTGATCTTGTTTGATTTGTCTTAATATATAGATTATTAATATATAATTTCTATAATTTTTTAATATACAAATTACAAGATAAAATTGATTAAAGAAGTGTATTGGATGGTGTGTAAAAATAAAAGTGGACAAATACTCTGGGACGGAGGTAGTATAATTTTTTAATATACAAATTACAAGATAAAATAGATTAAAAAAGTGCATTAGATGGTGTGTAAAAATGAAAATAGACAAATACAGGGAAACGTAGGGAGCAGTGGTATTTTGCTACTCACACCCTCTCACTCACGGCGGGGCGCATGCGGTCACCCCATCAAGTCTTTCCTAAGATTGTGGTAACACATGGCCTTACTTACCGAGTGCTAATGATCAAGTGAGGCATTAATATTTACTCCATCCCTAAAAAAAATTAATTATCATATAAAATTAGTATATATCACTAGATTTATTTTATGACATAATTTATTAACATTATTATTTTTCTAATAAAAATATTTATATTTATATATAAATAGAGATATTAATAGTTAAAATATTTAGACGGAGTAACTTCCTTTAATGAATATGAAAAGGGTACTACTGATTTTGAAAAATAAAAACAAGTTAGTAGATGTTGGGGTAAAAAATGTACAAAAATGGAGAGATAACAAAGTTAAAATTTATCCCAAAAGAGTACTGCATGAAGTTATAATTTCCTGTGAAAAAGTGCCATAGATCACGGGCCACTATGAAGAGTCCATAATAAGAATATGGTTATCCATCTCCTTGCTCTTTTTCTTTGTGTTTTCATTTTCGTAAAAAGGGCAATAGAGAGAACGTGTTAGGTATATGGAAAAGGACAAAAAGGCCGCGGGAGTCATAATTAGATTAATTTACAGGACTCAAACATAATGATTTTTCTCAATATAGGATCATATGTTTTTATTTTCTCATGTAGGACTATTGGTCATTATTTATTAGTCATTGTTCAACAAAATGTCTAGCATCACTTGAACATTATTCTTCTCACTAGTCATTATTAAGTCCTATTTAAGGAATAAAAAAGTTTAAGTCCTATATTGGGAAATGACTTATGTTTTAGTCCTATTCACTGCAAATTTCATTCATAATTATTCATCTAATCGAAATAGAAATTTGTACTTCTTTCTTAAAATACTCATCTTTTTCTCAAAAATTAGTATCACACCCGTGCGTTGCACGAGTCATTCTAATGTTATTGAATCCAAATAATTTTTCAATGATAAAATTGAGATGCAATAGAATATAGAGATTATATTAGAGTATTTTAAAGTAAAAAACATCACTAATTTACAAATTTTGAAATATTTCTTTATAGACTACATTGTTTGCACAATTTGTGGGAATATTGCATGTCTTCATTGCATATCAGAAACAATTAGAATTAATTCTTTGGGTACATGTATTTCAAAAATAATTTGAATTAATTTATAAGAATACTATTGTAAAGCTTAGGTTTCACCATTTGCAACACCAAAATTGGAAGGGTCAAATCCATTGCATTCAAACCATCAATCAAAACATTGACATGATTTTCCCATAATGTACAATTTAACCGAACGCCCATACACAAAAAAAGGTTAAATTAATATTAATCTTTATCGAAAATGAATAAATAATAAATATTTTTGTATTAGCAACTTTAAAAATATATTTGCATATACTTTATTTAAAGTATATATTTGCTTAATATTATTTTCCTTCTTTTCGAAATGCATTTACTTATTAAAAATATGAAAATATTTACTTTCTATAATACTGGATGCATCTAATAACATTCCGTAATTAGGAATATCTTACTAAAATAATGCCTTAAATATTAATTAGTTACTAATTACTCCAGTAATATAAATCCGGAAATAATATTTTTTTAATAAAATAAATTTGGTTTTTAATATTCTTACCATAATTATTTTTTTTGAAATTGGGAGTATAATTGTATAACTTACCTTTTTTAATTATATCCAATTTTCAAAAACTTACGTTTTGCAATTGTAAAACTTACCTTTATTAAAAACATATGCTTTGGAATTCTATAACTTACCTTTTTAATACATTATTTATTAAAAAAGGTAAACTGGCGTTTACCATTTTATACTACTCATGTTTACCATTTTATATTACTCAGTTAATCATTACTCCCTCTGTTCTATAAAAGTGTTCATATTTTGACTTTGTGTAAAAATAAGGAAGTGTTAAATTGTAATTGACTTCCAATTTTGCCCTTAATGTGATAGATAAAAGTAAGATGTGATGAATTGATTATTAGAGAAAAAGTATCATGTGATAGGTAGGGTATAAAAAAGTAAGGGTAAAAGTGGTTTTGTAATAGAAAGTGGAAGTATTTTGTTGGAAGTATAAAATGAGAGAAGGAGAGTTTTTGCGAACGGAGAGAGTATAAAAATACGTAGTAATGGCTATATTAACTTCACGCTTACATAGAAAAAAGGTTAAAAATGACAGTTACTTATTCTTGCAAAAATTTTGGAGTCTTCCTTTTTTTAAAAAAATATATTTCCTTTTGTATAATATTCCGTGGCATCATTATTATTGAGGATTTAGAATTACCTTGATTAGAAAAAATCCGTTCAGTTAATATTAATTGCAAATTATAAATTGTGTCATATTATCGTTGTTCCTTTTTTAAAATGATTACGTGTTAAAACTATTCGTTTTAAAAACGAAATTGGTTAATGTCGTGTGATAAAAAGGAACTGTATTTATTATAGCTTTTAAACCATTTTTTTAGATTAATAATAATAATTTTTTAAATTAATAATATCACGTTTTTAAAGGCATTGCATGTAAAAAGTAATATTAATTTTAACTTCACAATAATTAACTTACTTTTCCGCCCTTTTAACTTACCTTTAATTATTATAAATATAATAATTATAATAATTATTACTATAATTTCGTTCACTTACCATTTTAACTTCACAATCGCCATTTGTAATTGTCATACTCTTTGAGCGAGAAAACCATATGTTGGCTCTCTGTCTTTTTAAATAAAGTATGGTACTTTTACTTTTTATTAAAAAATTACTTTTATCTTTACTTTTCTTACTTTATCTAAAAAATGAACTTTCATCCTAGAAAATTAATTATATAAACTATTTTATTTAAAATAATAACCAATATTATAATATAACACATAAAAAGATTAAAATATTATAATTAAATATCGCAATAACTAGCTACCTAAAAAATTAAGTTTTAAATTTTTCTATTAAAAATATAAAATTCATAGTACCAAAAAAATATTGGGCCCACGAAAAAATGGGCATTAGCGGCCCAATCTCGAGGTGGCTCTGGCTCTACAACACATGGGGTGGCGGGATTATGTCATTTTATTAAGTATTAACAAAACAAAAATAGATAAAAATGTACTCCCTCCGTTCCCTTAAGATGTTATTATTTTGACTTTTAGTGATTTTTAAGAAGAGTTGAAAAAGGTGAAAATTTACCATAATACCCTTAATGAAAAATGGGTGGAGTGTATTAAATGAGGTGGGTGAGGTGTAATAAATAAAGTAAGTGAGGGTAGTTGTGGTATTCTAATTGTTAAAAAATGAAATGAGAAGATCTATTGTGGACATAGAAAAAGGACTATTGAGAAGATCTATGAGGGACGGAGGGAGTAATTAAAATTAAACGATGTGATGTTTTGGGACTCTAGGACAACACCAAGGGTACGGTAGAAATCCCCTAATTCAAAAATTTGGGGCAACCAAACATGCCCTAAGCCATTAAATCAAAGGTGAGACCTATAAATAGGGCACATGTCTTTTACAATCCACTCACCCCTAGAGACAACATTGCAATTTGCAAAACAAACTTATTTTGAATACAACCAAACAATGCCTTACTCCAACCAGCTCGCTCCTCTCGCTCTCTTCTTGCTCGCTTCTTCTCGTACGTCGTCGTAGTGACCATTATTTCATAATTTCATTCTATCACTGCAAATTGCGTTTAATTTTGTTCAAATTTATTTTTAGAACTAATTGATATTATTAACATGTTACTGTGTAATTACTTAATTTTTGGATGCAGTGGTTCTCCGGATGGGAGCGGCGGAGTGCAACGGGAAAGACGTGTGCTCGCCGTTCGAGATGCCGCCGTGCGGCGACGGCAACGGCTGCCGGTGCATCCCCTGGGGGCTGTTCGTCGGCCAGTGCATCCACCCCACTTCGTTCGCCCTCCCGGCGGTGGCGGAGAAGATCGGGGCCCACCCGAACTTGTGCACCACCGACGGGGAGTGCCTCGAGAAGGGGAGCGGGAACCACTGCGCCCGCTTCCCCAACCCGGGCGTCTCCCACGGGTGGTGCATCGACTCGTCCGTCGCGCCCAATGGTCTCGGCCTGAAGATGGTCACGGACAACTGATTCACTGCCAGCTGCCATGATTAATCATCGTCATCCCGTGATGATTAATGAAGTTTAATAATAAGAATAATAATTGTGGGCGTGTTACTTATTAAGTTCAGTTTAATGAGTACGTACGAGGTCATCATGCAACTTATTAACTGTGGTGTCGTGGTTCTTGTAATGTTGCTTGAGGTGTTTGATCTTTTCAATAATGCATCTATGTTTTCCATTTCACTTTCAATTCCTTCTTTTTTATTTACAACATTTCAAATTTAACTTTTATAAAAGCTATATTAAAGGAGAATTTATTTAAATATGACTAAAATATATTGATTTCATCGATCATTATAAGATTATACTCTGTATACACTAATCATTATTCAAGTAAATTTCTATCATCATTGAACATTATTTCTCTCACCAAACATTATTAAGTGTATTATATAGAAAATAAAAATATTTAAGTCATACATTAAAAATGACTTATTTTTGAGTCCTATTTAGTGCAAATTTCACATTAAACTATTATAAATTTTTATTGGATAGAATAAAAAGTGAAATGATTTTGTTATTTATTTTAACAAATAACGTAACTAATGAAAAAAGTAAACAAACATAATTGGACTTGTGAATATTGGAGTGGGACATAGATTCGGGAGTGTACGATTTAGCGCCCGAAATATACACAAATTAAATTGTCTTGTGATATAAATTTAAAGGTTTATGAAATACTGGTACTCTGTATATCTTTTGTCATTCCTATGAAATATGGAATTTTTGTTTTTGATCCCTTTTATATATTTTTTATATAAGACTTCATTACAAAATTTTTAATGGGTCCTTCAACATAATTTAAATTTTAAACTTGTTGAGCCTAAGCATTTTTACCTTGCATTTTTTATTATCTCATACATATAAATTACACGGCGTAAATTGTGTCCTTCAAATTATATCTCAATTTCTAATTTTTATTATTCAGAGTATTATACTCCCAAAAAATTTGGAAATTGAAAATGTAATATGAGGTAATATGATTATGAACAATTTAGAATTTAAGACTTGTGTCGGGTAATTTAAAAATTCTTTTCTAGACTTTTTTCATTTTCTGTCTGTCCCAGTGATAAAATCTGGAGAATGAAGTCTTAAGAATGTTCGTCGGACTCTCTCAAAACTCAGATTGGGAATGTTCTTAGTCTCAACAAAACGCATTCTTCAAGGAGGAAGGATATATGTATTCTTTACTTTTTTTTATTTTCAAAACAATTTATAAATAAAACAATTTAAAAATGGAGTTTCGGAAGTTGTTGGAAGTGAAATGCAAATGAGATTTTGAGGGAAGGAGGGTGTAATATGGATGCATGAAACTAAAGCTGTAAAAAATTGGTGAATTAATTCACACTAAAGCTGTAAAAAAACACGTACTCAAGTACTGCTTTCCACGTTTGACTGGTTTGAGAAATGAGGTGAAAACATATAAATTTTGTGTTAAATCAAAAGAGCCCCCNAAATTACTTGTCTAATAGCACTAGAAATACTCATGAAACCCCGGGGTTTCAAACTTTCTCTCTTTGTCACGTCAGCTTTAACTTAACTCACAGTTTTACTGGAAATGGGTTTGAAGCCCTGGGGCTTCAAACTGGGGCTTCAAACCTTCATTTTTTACATTTTAAATACACATCTTCTAAAATTAAATTCATTAAATTTAAATATTTAATTATTTAAAAGAATTGAAACGAGAATATTTCATTAAAAAAATTGTATTCATTATAAAAAATTACATTCATTAAATAAAAAAATTATATTCATTAAATAAAAAATTATATTCTTGAAAAAAAAAAGTTGAATAATAATTTTTTTAAAAAAGATGATAAAGAAATTTATATTTGTGTTGAATTTTAAAAAAAATTAATTTAATTTATAGAGAAGAAAAGAGGAAAAAAGAAGGAGAAAAAAGAAGAAAGAGGCGTTATCACGCCTTCAAATTGCGTCAAAAGTACGAATAGGAAGTTTTAACGCCCCGATAACGGAGGAGGGGGCGGTGTTTAACGCCCCCCAAGCGTCAAAATCAGTATAACGTGGTAGGGCGTTACGCCCATTACCACTGCCCTAAAAGTAAAAATAATTGTCCAAATAAAATATAAAGGTAAAATTTTTCAAATATAACATTTTGTAGTTGCATTAGGTTCTGACATTTGTTATATGGAGTATATTTTTCTACTTTATAAATATTTTATTTTACTTATTTGTATACTTGTTTGAAAATAAATTTATTCATTTTTTCATCCTTATAAGTAGCATTGAAAAAAATTCGAGGGCGTTGTTCCCAAACACCTTGCCCTACTCCTTACACTCTAACTTTGCCCCGGCGACATTTTTTTCTAGATTCGTCGCTGGTAGACATTGTGCTATTGACATAGACAATACGGGGTAAGTACTAAGGGGTTAAATCAAGTTAGAATTTTGATAAATATGCTAAGATGCAACTGTATAAGAAATCACTGTAAATATGACTAAAAGATATAAAAAGTACCAAAAAAGAAATTCAATGTTTTTATTTCTATAATAGTCGTTCGAACTGTGGTAATGTAGTGTTAATGTGGCACGATACATCTGCATTTTACTATACTTTTTGGTAATGTACATGATCATATTTGGTAATGTAAATGTATTTTTATACCTATTAAAAAAAATAAAAAAATAAAACCTCTATTTTAATATATTTTTAATGAATTATTTATTTTTCCCGACAAGGGATCCTCGGGAGGTGGGCCATCCCTTTTGAAATGAGTCAAAAGTTCAAATAAGTGTGACAGGTAAAGCAAGGGATTTTTTCATGATTGATAGGATAAGCCTATATTCGCCTAGTCTATGGCAAGGCATGCGTGAACGAATCTTCCGTACAAGCTTTCAAAAAAATATAAAAAATAAAAAGAATCTTTCGGACAAAATATCGACCAGCACCTTTGATTCGTTTTTTGTTAAAACTACACTTGGTTAAAAAAATATCACATCATGCCAAATGAAGTAAAAATTTTAAAATTTATCTTACTTAATTATCGTCATAAAAATAAAAAATAAAATTTATATTTTAAAAGCTATGCCAAAAAATCAACAAAGCAATGTAAGAGGTGAAAAAATATTTTATTTTACTGAATAATTTATGAAAAGACACACATGAATAAAAACTCCTCTGATTTTTAAATATTGTATTTGTGGATGTTAACAAAAGTAAATTTCGTTAAGTGTGTTTTTCGTTAATTGTGTTTTACTCGAACATGTCATAACACAAAATTCAAAGCATATGTAGTTCATGAGGAAATGTGAATTGTATTTTCGCTCACAAAAGGGGTGTATTAGGTACGGTGTAGATTGTAAATGAGTTGAACAAACTTGATTCGATTCCGATTCACATTTTTTTGTATTGATTGTTATTCGGAAAATTTGAATCTGAATACGACATAAGAGTCCATTTTAATTTCTTCACGTCGTACTCACGGGATCCTTGATTTTTCGGTGACAGTCTTGACACAAAATTAGCCGACGCCGGACTGGAGTGAGAGCAAGAGGACTGAGGTGGACGGTTTAGAGAGCGAGTTAAATACTTAAATGTGATAGAAAACATTTATTACGAAGGTAATCATGACAATTTATGCGCTCTAATTAAAGTGGTGTTGAAATTTGATACCAATATGGTGGTGTCAATTTAGATCGAGCTAGGCCACGTTCTTTTGTGTCGAAAATTTCAGAATTGAATGTTGGAGAAAACAGAAAAAATTCAAAAAATCAGAAGCAATTACAAAATATTAGAACTTAAGTGTTATAAAGTCGTCCAATTAAATAATCATCTAAATAAATATGTAAGAAGACACAAATTTTAGATTAAAAGAATTTATCGTTATCCTTATATGATGTGGTGTGTTATAAATTTAGATAAATAATGTTATTGTATATTTTTTTCATTCACAAATAAATTTTTTGAATCGTTGTTGAAAGAAACTGGAAGATGTTAAAAGACACTTAAAATAATTAAAGAAAAAATATGAAAGAGTTTGAAAAAATTAATTTTTCCTAGTTTAAAACAAATGGCGGATCGGAGCACGTGAAAGGATGGCATGTATGTATGAACAAGGCAACATGATTATTACCATAGTCCACAATTAGAGATTGTTCAATTCACGGGCCAATGCGATTAATGTTTTAATTTGTGGTAATTAGGTTGTCGTCCTTCTTTGTCTTTTTCTCCTTTGTTATTTTACACTTGATACAGCTGTGTTAGGGTCTGTTTGGAAATAGATTTAGCAATTAGCGTTAGCATTTTTTAAAAGCTATCTACGTGCAGCGTTTAGCATTAGTGTTTTCAAAATAATGTGTATCGTTAAAATTTTATCCAAAATGCTAATGTTAATCTCTAACGATATTCTCTAACAGACCCTTAGCCACTTCATTGGGATGTTAGGTATAGGTAAAAGTACAATACCAAAAGCCACTTTCTTTGTTTTTTTCATTCGTCCCAAAAAACACTTCTCATTTCTATTAAAAAGTCATTTTTACCCCTTACTTTTTATACCCTACTTATCACATTATACTTTTTTACTAATAATCTACCCATCAAATCTTACTTTTATTAATCACATCAAATGGCTTTTTAGAAATTCAATACGAAAATACACTTCTCTTAAATTTCTTAAAAATCAATAACTTCCATTTTTTTAGGAGCGGAGGAAGTACTAATTAAAAAGATAAAATAAAATATTTTTGATCAAACATAGCATTCGTAACAAAAAAAATTGTTTAAGAAAAAAACTGAACCCCATCCCCGAGACTATCTTAAAACTCGCAAAACAATTTCCTAAGGGGAGGTAAACGACTAGTGAGATAATTTTAAATTGTTTCAAAAGGAAGAGCCCCATCCCCGAGGGCTCCTTCAGACCTGGTCGGACGATAACTACTAAAAAGAGTTATAAATTCGACTTTCATCGCAGATTGGTGGCCGGTAGAGAGTAGAGCCTCTACTCGATACTTGCTGAAGCACTATGTTTAACATAATTAGCTCTTAGTGTATTTGTCAGGAATCGAATTCAGGTGTTACCGCTTAACTTATCTTTGTCAATTACGCAACGTCGTCTATCATTTTAAATTGTTTTTGAAATGAAAGGGGTGAGATATAAATATAAGGAGTATAATGGTACCTGTTGGTGCGTTAAACAAAATTAGTTTTACACCAACACAAAATGTCGGTGCAAACCTGCGGTGTACAAAATGGGGTAGACAAGTTTGGGGTACAAATAGCTTTATCCATGAGTCTATGACTTCAAAGGCTCTTTTCTAGACTTTTTTCATTTTTGTTTGCCCCAATGATAAAGCTTGGAGAATGAAAGGACTCTCTCAAAATTAACATTGGGGATGTTTTTAGTCTCATCAACAAAAGGCAAAAATGCTTTTTGGCTCAAGAAGGAGGAACCCTTCGTCCCAAATTATTTGCAATTTTTGCTTTTTCAGCAGTCACGGGAACTTTTATTTATTTCTACGTTTTCATTAGTTATTTGATAAATAAAATATTCTTGACACCTCTTATTTCAAAGAACTTTTCATGTAGTTTTTTGATATGTAAAAGTGCGACAAATATTTAGGGCCGGAGGGAGTATATGATTGCATGCATGAACCTAAAGCTGTAAAAAAAGTGGGTGAAAAAAGACTACACTAATGCATGAATTCTGATACTCGCATAAAGCGCAAAGCCAGTGCTTCTCACCTGCTGGGAAGAAGAGTGACCACTTAACACTCAAGTAGTGCTTTTTAGGGAGCATCAGGTCGGTTCAATCGGCTTTGGTTGAAAATCGAACGGTCCGAATTATATTTTGGTACTTGATAAATGAAAACCGACCGGTTAACTGAAATAGCCGACTTTTTTCATGCTTACTAACCGAAACCAAAATTTCGAGCGATTCGATTTTGGAACATCAGTTCAACGTACGGTCGGTTCGATAGAAATGCTCACTCCTAGTGCTTTCCCCGTGTTGAGAAATGAGGTGAAAACATGGAAATTTTATGGTAAACTAAAATTGCGCCCCGAGTGAAATAAATTATGTGCCAGTGCCAAAGAAAATTCTTGTTAAAAAGTAAAAATAATTAATTGAATAAAATAAAAAAGTTTTAGTTTAAATGTAAAAATAATGATTTAAACAAAACATAAAGGTAAAATATTTCAAATACTCCGTATAATATAATATTTTGTAGTTATATTAGGTTATGAAATATTTTATATGGAATATACTTTTCTACTATATAAATATTTTATTTTACTTATTTGAATACTTGTTTGAAAATAAATTTATTCATTTTTCATCCTCATAAATAGCCTTAAAAAAATTTGAGGGCGCTGTTCCCAATCCCCTCCGCTCCACTCCTTTCTCTTATAACTTTGCCCCGGGTGATATATTTTTCCAGATTTGTCACTGGGTGAAATCTGCGCAGTTAACAAGGACAACGAGTACCAAGGGAGTGAGACCGAGTTCGATATCAAGCAAATGTGTTAGAATGGAACTATATTAAACATACATCTTCTAAAAATATCAAGGGTAAACTATTTTCTTTGTCATTAATCTATTACCAAAGTTAATTTATCATTGTTTAACTACTGGCTGAATGTGAAGGAATGGTTGGAGATGTGGGCCATCCCTTTTGAAATGAGTCAAAAGTTCAAATAAGTGTGACAGGTAAAGCAAGGGATTTTTTCATGATTGATAGGATAAGCCTATATCCGCCTAGTCTATGGCAAGGCATGCGTGAACGAATCTTCCGTACAAGCTTTCAAAAAAAAAGACTCTTTCCTATTGCCGGCCACCTTTGTATGTAATAAAAACGCAATTTTAAAATATTTCTAACAAATTTAATTTAGATTTCAGAACTCATATCATATACTCCGTATCTAAGATTTCAAAATTCATTCTTCATATCATATCAATTTTCCAAACATCACCAAACCGGTCCTACAAGTATATAGGTAAGAAAAATCAAATCCCCTTATTCGTCTCATTTTCAATTTCATAAAAAAGGAAGAACCCATCTGTGAGGGTCTCTCAAAATTGGTTAACGATAACATGAGATAAGATAAATTAAATTTTAATCATAGATTGGTCACAAAGAATATATTCGTCACTTGTAACTTGCAGGGTCTCTATGTTAATATATTTCTCTTCCAGCAAAGTTATTAGAAATCAAATTCAAGTATTACTCCCTGAGCATTCCTTGTTGCATTACGCGCGAGCCAAATATCCAATTTCATTTTTTAATTTCCGAAAATTTGACATAGTTTTGATATCCAATAAAAAGCTCAATGCAATATGAATAATGTGTAATGTGTAAAGATATGTAAATACTCGTAAGTTTTTTTTTTTTAGTAGGGGATGATATAAAGCTGTTTAAAGAAAAGTTTTAAAATTGGAATTTCTAAAGTTGTCCAAAGTGAAATGAGGTTTGTAGGGAAGGAGAGTGTAATGTGCATGCATGATTAATATATACAGCGGTAAAAAAAAAAGAGTGATGAATGAAAGATTCCTGAAACACACATAAAGCGCCAAGGCACATGCTTTCCTCCTGTTGGGAAATAGGAGCGTTTTTTTTTACTGTATTTTTTTGAATTTGATTTGTGTACAAATAAAAGTGTGACAGCTCAAGTAGTGCTTTCCACCTGTTGCGAAATGAGGACCATATTTGGGCCCGTGACAATTTTTAAAATCAATTTATACTTCTTCTTTACCATATTTTAAGAAACCGGGTAAAATAATAGGTTTTTTCAATTAATTTAAATTCAATATTAGTATAAAATAAAAAATAAAATTTACATATTTAAAAATTACACGAAAAATTCTTCGAAATAAGAGACGTCAAAAATATTTTATTTTACCAAATAATCAATAAAAACGTACAAATAAACAAAAAGTCATGTGATGGTTGAAAAAGGAAATGTGACAAACATTTTGGGACGGAGAGTGTATACAAATTGGTACATCAATAAAAAGCAGGGCAATTTATCTAAATAGTACTAAGACATAGTGACTTTCCCGACGTAATATCATACTTCGTATGTTTTTATTTCTCAATGTAATACGAGCAATCATTATTCACTGATCATTGTTCAAGTAAATATTCACCGCCGGCACTGATACTCTTCAAACACCAAGAAGTGCAATGTAATAATAGAGTGACTATTAGTAGGAAATAATAGTGGCCATCCGAATCCTATCCTCGATACTATCCTCAAATTCAATTTGCTCATTCGCCCCAACCAAACACGCCTTAGGTGATTAGAGGTACATGATGAGTCCTATATAAATAGGGTCACTAACAGAGGGAAGTTAAAGAACATACTTACAAACCACATTGCAACCAAAAGAAAACTCAGAATTACTACAAAAATGGCTTCCCATAAGCTCCAGCTTGCCCTCTTCTTCCTCGCTTCTTCCCGTACGCATGCATACTACATACCCAAAATATATAATTCATTCCTTTTTATTTTGTTTTGTTTTTAAAATTTTAAACTTTAAATTGACATTATTTATTCATTTCCAAATAATATTAATTTCACCTTATTAATTAATTGTTGCAGTGGCTCTCCGGATGGGTGCGGCGGACTGCAACGGGCACAGCCTGTGCTCGCCGTTCGAGATGCCGCCGTGCGGAGACGGCAACGGCTGCCGGTGCATCCCCTGGGGGCTGGTCGCCGGCCAGTGCATCCACCCCACCTCGTTGGCCCTCCCGGAGGTGGCGAAGAAGATCGAGGCCCACCCCAACCTGTGCCTCTCCAACTTGGAGTGCTTCAAGAAGGGAAGCGGAAGCTTCTGCGCCCGCTTCCCCAACCCCCACGTCGAGCACGGCTGGTGCATCGACTCCGCCGCCGCCCTCTCCGCCCTCTTCGACTTCAAGACCACCACCACCACCACGGCGGCGTAATAATTTCCAAGTCACATGCATGGCTGGCGACGCTATTATTATCCTAATTATCTTCCAAGACATCATCAGCTTAATTCTCATTATCATTAGCTGGAATAAATTGGATATTGTGTTATTGTCTGCTTGTAGGGTTTCATGATGCTTTGCTAGGGTTGCTTTGTTGTTCTAAGCTGCCTGTCCTCTCTTTCTTTCTTTCATCGTCTAATAATAATTATGTTATGTTATACTTTCCATTTTCCAACGTGTGCTTTCCCATCTTTTTACTTAAAACTTTTTCACTTGGATGCACTCTGAGATTCAACAGAAAAAAAATTAGATGGAAAATAATTTACCTAGTTTTGCTCTGAGTGAAAAATTAAAAGAAAAGTAGTATAGAGAAATGAATGAGAAGACCAATTTTACTAAGTTGTGGGAAACTTAAATTTCTACAATTTTAACGAGCAATATTAGAAAAATATATTTTTTTTCAAAATTTTTTGAACCAAAGATGTATAAGATAAATTTACTACTCGCTTCGTTCTTTAAAAAATTTTCGATTTTGATTTTTTCACTTGGATGCACTTTGAGATTCAAAAGAAAAAAAATTAGATGGAAAATAATTTACCTAGTTTTGTTCTGAGTGAAAAATGAAAAGAAAAGGAGAGAAATAAATGAGAAGACAAATTTTACTCTGTTGTGGGAAAACTAAATTCCTCCTATTTTAACTAGCAATATTAGAGAAATATTTTTTTTAAAAATTTTTTTGAACCAAAGATGGTTAAGTTAAATTTACTACTCGCTCCGTCCCTTAGCTTAAAAAACTTTCGATTTTGACTTTTAAAAGATTTTAGAAGAGTGTATTTTGATGTTGATTTTTCAAAAATCTCATTTGATGTGATGGATAAAGTAAGATGAGATATGTAAATTTATAAAGAAAAGGTGTGATTTGATAGAGACAAAAGTGATTTTTAATAGAAAAAGCTTTTACGGAAATCCGGTACGCCACCGCTTAGTTGTCGTGTCGCTTCCTCTTCCCGAGAGGTCATCGTTGCTAATTATAGTATCTGCCCGATGTCATTTTTCCATTGGTCCTCCTGGGCCGTCACATTCCCTATATAAATCGAGCCCCTCGTATTTTAACATAAAAATAACTTTATATTATACATATGATATTGATAATTGTATTTCATTATACTCATATGCCATACAAATTGAGAGTAATTAGAATTCGAAATTTATTTAGTTTGTCTCGAAAAGTCACTAGACATTTATACTAGATAAAGATACTATAATTAATTAGGTGAGACATGGAGAGCCTATGATACTCCAATACTCCTTGTGTAAAAAAATTGCTTTGTTATTGTTCTGGTCATTAAGAGTAATCAGTAAAAATATACAAATAAATAAAATTTAACGAATGACCATAACAATAACAAAGTGATTTTTTCCATCTTATTTTTTTTAAATACTCTCTCCATCTTAAAGTGTTCTTCACACTTACTTTTTACACGGTCAAACTTGAATCACTTTCTTTACCTATTTTCATTAGGTATTTGATAAAATAATATAGTATTGTCACCACTTGTTTTGTAGAATTTTTGATGTAGTTTTTAAATGTTTAAATTTTATTTTTTAATTTTATACATAAAATCAAATAAATTGAATTGAAAATAAAGTCGTTCAAACCTCCTAAACAGAATCGAGAAGAACATTATAGGCCGGAGGTAGTACTAATGAGTATATAAGATTTTAAAAAAACATACTCTAAATATAATAGTAAAAAAAATAATAATCAATATTTAATATTTCATTCAGATTATCATTCCATCTTATTTAAAAAAAACTTTTACTCTATATTTAGAGCACTGACAGTGGCGAGTATTGCAATGGAATGCCATGAGATGACGTGTTACCTTGCAATCAATCAAAATTAATCGTGCAAAGAGTGTGGCATTCCATGGTTTGCAATGGCAAGTCACTCCAATTGTGGCGTGGCACGGCAAGGTTGCATATTTAGGGTGGCAAGAGGGTGGCAATTTTCCAGGATCGGCCGGCGATTTCGCATTCTGGCGGGCGATTTTTCAGAATCGGCCGGCGATTTTCCAGGCGGCCAGCGATTTCGCACTCCGGAGGGATCGACTGGCGATTTCTCACAGGGGGAGAGGAGAGATCACGACGATTGCTGACGATAGTCACACCGGCAAAGGCGAACAGATGGCCGGGAAGGTGGACGGTAGTTGGGGTGGTGTGGCCGGTGATGTTTGGGTGTGGATTGGGGTTGCGATTACGACGGCGAAGGGATTGGGGTCTGCCTCGCAGATGCCTCGCAAAGCAGGGTGCCTCACCCATAGGCACACATGGCAGATTCGCTCCTCTCTCTTCCCACGCGGTTGCAAGAAACGGCTTTCCTCTCATGGCAGGGCGAGATAATTTTTTTACTCGCCCCTGCCAATGCTCTTAGTTTTAAAATAATCCTTTCTCGTGGCAAAACACTCTTAAATTTGACATTAAAAACTTACTTTTTCCATGACTTTTTTATGTATACAATCATTTTACTTTCCATTTTAAATTTTTATCAATTACTTTTATACTCGCTTTCTTAAATAAATCAAAAATTTTTTGATTTTGATTTTTAAAGGATTTTGGAAGATTGTATTTTGGTGTTGATTTTTTAAAAATGTCATTTGATGTGATGGATAAAGTAAAATGAAATAGGTAAATTAATAACGAAAAGATGTGATAAAAGTGATTTTTTAAAAGAAAAAGATTTTACGGAAATTCGGTATGCCACCGCCTAGTTGTCGTGTCGCTTCCTCTTCTCGAGAGGTCATCATTGCTAATTATAGTATATGCCCTGTGTCATTTTTCCATTGGTCCTCTTGGGCCGTCACGTTCCCTATATAAATCGAGCTCCTCCCGTATTTTCACATAAAAATAACTTTATATTAGATTTATGATATTGATAAATATATTTCATTATACTCATATGTAATATAAATTGAAAGTAATTAGAGTTCGAAGTTTATTTAGTTTGTCTCGAAAAAGTCACTAGACATTTATACTAGATAAAGACACTATAATTAATTAGGTGAGACATGGAGAGCTTATAATACTCCAATATTCCTTATGTAAAAAAATCGCTTTGTTATTGTTCTGGTCATTCAGAGTATTCAGTAAAAATATACAAATAAATAAAATTTAATGAATGATCAGAACAATAAAAAAGTGATTTTTTCCATCTTATTTTTTTAAATACTCTCTCCATCTTATAGTGTTCTTCCCACTTATTCTTTACACTGATGGGTATATCCTTATACCCGACCCGGATAACCGAAAGGGACTGGTCAAGATATGACCGGTCACTTTTATCAATCACCAAATGAGGTTAACTCTTCAATTGGGACGGGTCAAAAGTTGACCGGTCACTTCCACTAAAAAAGTGACCGGTCACATTTTGGGCGATAGCCAAAATGTCACCTTATGTAACGAAGGATATTCCGGAAGACCAAAGGGACGGGCTGAGCTCAAGAAATGACCGGGTAACCTTTGAGAAAAGGTGACCGGTCATACCACGTTACTTTGCTAACATTGGTCCGGTCTCTTAGGCACGGTGAACCACGTCAGAGGTCAAGGGGACACCCCGCCGCTCATCCATCACGAGGCACACAGTGAAAGGGATGTTTGTCATTTTGTAAGGTTGATTGGATTGAGAATATCCATTTTAGTCTTTGATTGAACAGTGCTTTTTTTGGTTGTATTAGTAGCAAGTCTGTGATTGTACAGTGCTTCCATGATCTACAGTGACCTTCCCACGAGCTTCCTATTTTGTCCATAGATGAACAGGGGAAGGTCACAAATCCTCCTCTATAAATATGATGATATTGGATAGAGGAGGGGATTCAATTTTTCTCTCACTAAAAGTTCACTCTTGAGATAGAGTAAGAAATATAATTCGGACTGAGGAGATTTATCCGGTCTAGGTCATACTTTGTGTTCTTGTTGTGTGTTTTATATTACGGGTCGAGTGTGTCCAGGTCAAACCCGGTTAACCCACCCCGCTATATTTACACCATCATACACGGTCAAACTTTAATCACTTATAGTGTTCACCACTTGTTTTGTAGAACGTATAAATTTTAGACCAAATAAAGTACTTGTATTTGTGATTGTGAGTCATTTGTGACAATAATAACCATAGACCGGGGTTCTTTTGAAACCACTCACTGAGTGTCATTATATGACACCAATGCCGTTTGAGGGCCTTGCGGTGCTCAATTAAGTCAATTTGGCCTCGAACTGGTTCCTACCATGCATCCTCCCTTGAGAACCCCAAGTCTGCCCTTGTCCCACTAGCTAGTTACCATTGTTTTCCTGATATGCGCGTGATTGTATTTATGGTAACATATCAACCGAACGGTGATATGCTATAGTATAAACTATAGTATATTGGCGAAACACGGAGGGGGGTTGGAGTGGAAGGGTCAAGCTGGGGTTATGAGGTAGCTAGGATCCACACTTTGGGGTAGTCGTAGGACCCTTAAATTGTCTGGTGGCATATTATGCACCCATAATAGGGGTCAAAAGAACCTAGCTCATAATCTTACAAAGCAACATTATTTAGAACAAGATTAATTTGGTGTAAAAAGCTCAGGGAAGAACATTATTATTTTATTCTTCTCCTTTTTTTTTTCGGAACATTAACAGTGCAATTTTGTTTTCAGTCTATTCTATCAGGTTCATTGCAAAAAAAGTTTTCATCATGGGTTGAAGATGACACCTTTTCAAGAGGTTTATGGCCGACCACCTCCAGATTTGGTTCCTTACAGCCGTGGTAATAGCCGTGTTCAAGCAGTTGATGATCTTTTGGCCGATCGGGATGTCCTTCTTCGCCGCCTGCAGGCTAATTTGGAAATGGCACATGTTCGGATGAAGAATTTGGCAGATGGTAAGCGTAAGGAGGTGGAGTTTAGTGTGGGCGATTTGGTTCTCTTGAAACTACAACCCTATCGCCAGCACTCGGTTGTTCGGCGTCCCTCACAGAAACTGTCCCTTCGTTTTTTCGGGCCTTTTGAGGTGTTGGAACGCATAGGGCCGGTGGCGTATCGTCTTAAGTTGCCCGAGTCATCCCGGATACACCTAGTTTTTCATGTTTCTTTGTTGAAACCATTTCGGGGGGGGGGGGGGGACNTTGGTCGATGGTAGGTTGCCGTCGGTTCCAGTGGGCATTCATGCGGTACGGAGGGTGTTGCGAAATGGTTCTCCGGAGGAGCAATTCTTGGTGCGTTGGAGTTGTGGTTCGTTGGATGACGCCACCTGGGAGCCCGCGGAGTATATTCGTCAGAATTTTCCTGACCTACACCTTGAGGACAAGGTGGTTGCTGAAGGGCGGGAGAGTGATATGGGTCCGGTAGTGCATGGGGAACCGGAGGTTCGTCGAAGTGAGAGGCCAAGGCGTGTACCGCGTTGGCAACGAGACTACAACATGAATTAGTTTCGTTTTAATACTTCAATAATAATGTAATTTAGTATTTTTCTAGGTGAGCAAAATATAAGCTTCTTCTAGTGTTTATAACTTTTCAATACATTTATTTATAAAATTAAATTATTTTATTAAATCTTTGTTTAAAATACATACAGTACTTCTTTTTCAAAACATCTTATTAATTTTAATTTTTAGTTTTATTATGCATGTTTTGTACTCCGTAATATTTTAATCTTTAATTTTAATATACACATTTTAAATTTCCAAATATTTAAAAATTTATAAGTGGTTTAATTTATATATAGTTTAAAAGTTTTAAAAATTTATAAATATTTACATTTTTTAAATATAAATTTTAAATTATTTTTTAATGATTTAAAATAAGGAAATTTACTTAAATAGTACTAAAACATGATGACTTTTCCAATGTGGTACTATATGTTTTTATTTTAGTACCACTGTTCAATGTCCACTGCTCATTGTTTTTTTAGTTTTTGATTTGTCCGAATAACAGAACATCCAATTCTAACGGAAAATGGACAGAATGTACTATCGAAGTATATTACCATTAATGTTAAGCACTCTGAAATATATATTTTGAATAATACCCAGAGTATGATATTTGTGAATTCTTATTTAAAAAATCAAGAGCACTCAAGAGTAATTTTCAAAAAAAAAATAATATTATCCTATCGAATATAGGAAATGGAGTGTGCACTCTAATATTTTATATTGGCACTCCAAAGTACACTTTTCACTCCCTCACATGAACAATGTATAGAGATAGTAAAAAATAGAATTTAAATAGAGGTATTTACTTAAATAGCACTTAAACATAATGACTTTCTCTAAATAGCACCACATGTATTTTTCTTCCCAATGTAGCATTTTTAGTCATTATGCATTAGTCATTATTCAAGTAAATATTTGTTATCACTGGTCATTATGGACATTATTAAGTGCTATTTAGGGAATAAAACAATTTAAGTGCTATTTAGGGAAATGACTTAAGTTTTAGTGCTATTTAGTGCAAATATTTCATTTTTAAATACTCGGTATCATTCATTACTCATTTGCACCAACCAAACAACCTTTCAAGTCATTAAAAGTGCATGAGTCCTATATATAAATATAGGTACATTCATATAGATGAAATTAAATGAATGAAACACATCTCAATTAACTAAGAAAAGTCGTGATATATAACAACAAACAAACAACAATGGCTTCCATTATGCAGCTTGCTCTCCTCTTCCTCGTTTCTTCTTCCCGTATGAACCCTATTTCATTTCATTCTTTTTTTTTTTGTTTTCAATTTTACTTTGTTTCATTTACAAGATTAATTACTCGTAATAATTAGAACTAGTAATTCACAATTAATTAATATGTCGATCACTAATTCACTACATACATATATACCATTGCATGCAGTGATGTTCGGGATGGGTGCGGCGGAGTGCAACGGGCACAACGTGTGTTCGCCGTTCGAGATGCCGCCCTGCGGCGACGGGAGTGGCTGCCGGTGCATCCCCTGGGGACTGGTCGCCGGCCAGTGCATTCACCCCACTTCGTTGGCCCTCCCGGAGGTGGCGAAGAAGATGGAGGCCCACCCCAACCTGTGTCTGTCCAACTTGGAGTGCCTCAAGAAGGGAAGCGGCAACTTCTGCGCCCGCTTCCCCAACCCCCACGTCGAGCACGGCTGGTGCATCGACTCCGCCGCCGCTCTCTCTGCTTTCTTCAACCTCAATACCACGGCGGCATAATTATTGTTTGTGCTTGGCTGTGATGGCTACGCACTACCTCTTCTAAACTTAGCTGGAATAAATGTGTGAGAGAGTGTGTGTGTGTGCGCGTATTTGCTTGCTAAATAAATGTCTTCTTTATTTCGTGAATAAATGTTTTCTTTGTTGGGCATTGGGCAATGATCTTTTAAAATCAATTGGTGCTAGAAGAAATGCATACTCTAATCTTATAGTGCATTAGCAAACACAAGCGATCACGACATTCGATTGTGACTTGGCTCACAAAGCTTCCGTCACGAGACGATTCGTGCACACATGGCCAACAATCACCCCCCTCAGCAATTACTCTCGCTGGAAATTGAACTCGTGACCTTGGCTCCGATACCATTTATAGGACCTCAGACGCTATTAACTATTCTCTAACCAATTGGTGTTAAAAAAAGTACATATCATAGCCTTATAGCGCATTCAGCAAACACAAGCGACCACGACATTCGATTGTGACTTAGCTTACAAAATCTCCGCCACGCGACAATTGATGCCCACATGACCAACAGATCACAGAATTGGAACCACCGGTTCTCAAACCGAAATCGGTGGCGGTTCCATCGGCAGTTCATGAATTGGCCGGGAATGAAAAATGGGAGAAAATTGATCGAAGAATAGAAGAGAGAAATGGTAAGGAGAAAAGTAGGTATTTTTTCTTCAAATAGGAGCATTGGCATAATGCCTTGCCATAATTTTATATTGTCTTTGAGCATTCCACTGTTTTTTGTCATTATTTATAAAAATTATATGTCCTACTTTAACATAAAAATATATTTAAAATGGCAAAAAAACTAAACCAAAAGCAAAATATAATATACTAAGATAAGAGCTCCATGTTTTTATTTTTAAATAGAAATTACTATGCCAATAATATCAACATATGATACCCTTAAAAATATTGTATAATATCATTACAATGTTACAGAACAAATTTGAATTTTGAGATAAAAATATCACTTTTATTTTGAAGATAAGAAGTATGTTTTAATTCTATTTTGTGTGATTTCTTATTAAAAATCTTATTTTGAAATATGAAGCATGTGTGACACTCTCTCTCCAAAAAATTACGATCGTGTCTATTGCTCGCCGCCTCATATCCCTCCCTCCCTCTCTCTCAATAAAAATTTTGTGCATGATCGAAAAACTAAAAAAGTACATCTGTCTTGTTTCTTCTACTGTTCAAGAGAATGGAAAATGGAAAGCAACCGTGAATTAGAGAAAATATCCCCTAAGAGTATTTACTACGGGGGAGGAGGGGTTCCGTTGCACGGCTGCACGTCATGTGGGAGACGCCAGGAAAAAAAATAAATAAATAACATGACTAGAGTTTGACCATGTAAATAATAAACATTAAATCCGGACAGATGGATATAACAAACAAAAACGAAGAAGAGAGAATAAGAAGACGTGAGAGTGTGGCAACAGCCAGAGCCCCTGGGCATACCCGCAAAGCACATCAAAGAACTAAGAACATTAAGATTTATTAAAATCATCAAAAATCTAAAAAAAAAGACAGAGATTCTGAATCAATATTTGGAACAGGATACCATTTCAGAGCTGGAGAAGGTTTCTTCTAAGCAAACAAATGAGGGCTTAAAATGTGAAGGATTCTCGACCAAATCAGGCAGTGGTGGTTCCTAGCTCCAACAGATTCAGATTCTTGAAGTTGAGAAACTAAGGAAGTTTCATGCCCTCTGAGAAGACAAACTTGTTGGTTGCGCCAAAGATCTCTGCCAGTTGCCAAATTGCTGATTGACACGTGGAACTTAAGGGACTGACACTCTCTGGGAGGACAGGGATGCATTCCGGGACAAACTCCGTCTTGTTGAAACTAGAAGCGTATAGAGACAGCGCTGCCCGGCAGAATATAAATCTGTCATTTGCAAGAAGAGAAGAAGAAAAAGAATCACATTTCTTGCTCTGAGTTGGGTCCATCCCAAAAAGTACTCGACGTTGCAGTTTCTGATGAAGTATTTTCAATTCAGTATATTTCAATAATGGTGTAAAATTCTTAAAAAAAATAAAACTTATAGTTTAAAAAACTACATTAAAAGTTTTACAGAAACAAGAGGTGACGACCATGTTATGTTAACAAATGATCAATGAAAAATGCAATAATAGAAGATCTAGCTTGACCCTGTAGATAGTAACCGTAGAAATTGTTTCGGGATGAAGGGGGGTACTATTGTCCTAAAAAGGTCTTGGTCTTGTAGTACTAAAAGATATGAATTTTGGTCTTTGCGCCCGATGTTATGATTTTGTATTCAATTTGGGACACAAAGTTAAATATTAAAGTAACTCATGTGGTGTAAAGTTTAACAAATGAGATGCAATGTTTAATAATAAAAAATCTGCTATGGGATGCTCTAGGATACATATTCAGATAAAATAAAACATGAGGCGCAAAGTTAAAATATTGAGGTAAAACACTCGATGAAAAGACCAATTTCCCAAACAATGCAGAACGGAGACTTTTCCAGGATGGAAGTACGAAATGGACTCAAATGCCCTCAAGATTCAATCATATGGTCTAATATAGAAATTTTACATTTTTCAACAACTTCATTATGGAGCTTAGCATATCTTCACTTATTCAGGCTCACCTAATGCCCAATGGAGAGCATCAAGTGGTAATCTATCTATAAGAAAATTTATATAAAAAGGTTGCTTTCATAAGATCCAATATGAATATTGGGTTTGTCTCATCTAATCCCACAGACTTCATTTTGCAACACTTAATCCCCCTCCCCACTTATCACCCACAGTTTTATTGTTTCTGATGGGTTCTTGATCTATAGCAGGCACAAGAATCGCAAGGTCCGTGGAGATTAGGGATATCTTACTTGGAGTAGGATAGGCAGTTTTTTTCCTAACTAGGATAGGTGCTTTCTATTTATAATAGTATTATTAAATGAGTATCATAGTTAGGCTAGAATGAGAGCTAAAGGGCAAAGAGAAACTCTATAAACACCTACACCCTTTTGTTATTGGATGTGATCATCAATAAGAACAGTTTAGCTTTCAGCTTTAAAACATGCCTGAGCACTGAGCACATACCCAATACCAAGAGAACTCATCAATTGGTATGGGAGCAGGCGAGATCAACATCAGATCCGTTTCAATGGCAACCCACAGAGCGAATTGAGTTGTGGGAGAACAGTCGGGGCATTCAAGTTTCAATTGGATATGTAAGCTGCTCGGGTTGGGATATGAAATTGTGTACAAACCTGGGAAAACCAACCGCAGAGCTGATGCTTTGACATGGCAAGAAGGAATCAACCAAGAGGCAATTCTGACTCAAGCTGAGGTGTGGGCATTACACAACCGGTGTGGACAATATGGAAGGATTTAGCGCAAACTACAGCCAAGGATACAAACCTCTCAAAAATCGTGAATACAGTACAAAGGCTAGAAACGATGGAGAACATCAGGTGACACCGTGACAGGACGTTGTATTCTGCATGATGGGAAGGTTATGGTACAAGTAGAGGAGAAAATTTGCGGCCAATTGTTGTCAGAATTTCATAAATCTCCTTCAGCTGGACACTGGCATCCTTCAGACGTATAAGAGCACCCCCAACCATGCTTGCTATTTTTATATTTTAGCAAGTGAAAAGTGATATAGCAAGAAACTTTTTGTTCCATTCTCCAACCATGGCTTGCTAATCCATGCTACAACCCTTGGTTTGCTATAAATTGGAGAGCTTGTTATATCTAGAAAGCCAAATGCATTTTTTGGCAAGCTTGCTAAAATATGCAACACCTATTGGAGAAGAGAAAAAGGGGTTGCCTTGATGCCGTTGATGGTTGGAGATGCTCGAAGAGACTGTCTTAAAAATTTTTGTATTTGCACAGGTATGTGCATCGCTATGAACATGCTAAGGGAGCAGTACCCGAGTCTCCACCTTGAGGGCACACCCAATACCAAGAGAATGCATCAGTTTTAATCGCTCAATCTCATCCATCACCTTATCCACAACTCACCCCACCAAGTCCTTTTTAACAAGCATTTTGTTTACCCAGATATTATCTAGCTTCTTTGGAGCAAAATCAGGACCTGAAATCATACTCTAAATCTAAACTTGGATTAAGGTACTTATGAATTTCATTCCTCCCCACATTCAAATTGATTGAGGGCATAAACTTAGGTGTAATTTCCCATTTCTACTGCACTCCCCCTTTTAAAATTAACTCTTCAAAAATAGTTAAGGGAATGAACAGCAATGTACCTTAAAATGAGTCGCCTCAGAAAGGGATCACCCAAAATTTGAGCCCATACAGGGTTAAGATTGTCTGACTCTGCCAATAACTGTCCCCACTGATTTAATGATGATGAAAGCAATTTCTCAGCCTTGTTGAACAAATCCTGAAACAACTTGTTGCTTTATATAATTGCCCATCAAAAGTAACAACATATCAAACAAGATCACGCGTACAGTACATTTGTTTCGTACCATTTCAATATCAGAGCCACTAAAACCGAGCATGAGAATGTAGGCCTGTAGAGGGGCTGTGAGGAAAATGGTGAAGGGGCTTTGATTTGGCAGACGAGAGGAGTCCATAGCATGTAGCGGGATAGAAGTTGTTGGAGATAGAAGCATGGCAGCTGACTCCCCTTTTTCTGTACCACTTAAAGCCTGTTCATGTTGCATTCCTTATTTATGATTAGCAACAAAACCATGCATGACTTTGCCAGAAAGGTGATGTTTGGAAGTCAGAAACTGGTGGGGAGAAGAACAAAAAATACCAAGGAAGATGATTTTTCTTGTAATGTGTGGTTTTACATTTGAGCACGCAAAAGAAAAGAGACTTGATTAATTTTAGTATAAAAATTAGAGTACATATATTGAGATTTCTTTGTTTTATAATCCTTTTATCCCAAAAAATTGCACTCGTTCACTTTATATGCAGCACTTTACATTGAAACCATGTAGTTGAAATTTATTTATAAATGAAAGATTCAAAGAATTAATGTTAACAACACAACGCTTGATAAAAGAAAATACTAAGAAAAGAGGCACATATGGAATGAATACACACAAAAAAGTAACACGAGAAGCTCAAACAGATGAGAAACAAATTCCAGATGAGACTAGAAAGTATTTCTAGACTTAGTGAATAAAGACCAGGTAAATAGTAAAATAGTGCACGTCAACAAAAAAAATCATTATATCTACTTAATCTAAATCTATGTAGATGAAGCATACCAAACTAAAACTAGCACGTAATCTACAAGATGCAAATTGGTTCGCGCCAGTTTGCTTCAATAGTCTCACGAAGATTGTGACATGGAGGCCATCTGGTATAGAGCATAAAACACTGCCCCATGTTTTTTTTGCATGAATTTACTCTGTTAACTAATTTTAAAGAATTAATTGGCACTATAAATGAAGTGCCAATGTAGGAACTTCCTATGGAGCTCCACCCCTGACTATAAGAAGTGCCCGATGATCAATTGGGACGAGGTCTGTTTACCAAAACAGGAGGGTGGCTTGGGCTTGAAGAATTTAGTGAGATGGAATCAGGCATGTATAATGAAACACATGTGGGACGTGGCTAAGAAGGACTCATTATGGGTCAAATGGGTTCATGGAAAATATCTTAAACATTGCACCATATGGGATTACACAATCAAACCGGATGACTGTTATTATTGGAAGAACCTAGTACAAAATGGTAAGCTTTTCAGAGGCATGAACATAATGAATGACTACAAGATACATGAAGGGTATAAATGGATTAGTGGTACCCATGGCAAGGTGGACTGGGCTGCATTAGTCTGGAACAAATGGGCAATACCAAAGCATTCCTTTATTGCTTGGCTGATATGGAGAGGGAGAATCCTGACCAAAGACAGACTGAGTAGGTTTATCAACCTGGATACTACCTGCCTGATGTGTGGATTGGAAATGGAGACAAGTGATCATCTTTTCTGTGCTTGCCCCTTTGCTAAAACTGTTTTTGGAGAACTCTCAAAGTGGATTCATTATGATTTAGCTGCAGCCCAGTCCATTACTGATCTGGGTGGGAAAATCAGACTGGGCAAGAGTAGGAAAGATCGCTGGCTTATAGCAACGTGTATCACAGCAGGTTGTTACTTTGTGTGGAAAGCTAGGAACAAGCTTCATTGTGGCAGCCAGGTTTCAAAGGATCACTATATTCAAAATCTCAGAACCATTATAAAATTGAGAATCGGAGATAGAGTGGCTCTCTAGATAGCTGGGTGTCTCCATTCATTTTACATTGTTGTTCTCTTTCAGTTTGTATTGGGGCCTCCCTGTTTGTTAGACTTCTGGTTTTGGTGGATAATAAAATGTGCTTGGTTCAAAAAAAAAAATGGCACTATAAATTTTATGCCACCAACCCCCACAAGGGATTAAGGTGGTGATGATGATTTAAAACTTCAAACAAATAGTTCTAGTCATTCCAAAGATGACAAGCATTTATTGAGCACGTCAAACATGTCATTTATCACACCCAATATATCTCATCATGGTCAATGTTTAATTGCAAACTTGTGATACACACACAGTCACACGCACGCACACACTCTTTCGTCCCGACATAAACTTCATGGTTTGATTTCAAATAGTTTAAGAAAAGTGTTAGAAAAGTAAAAGGTGTATGGTTGGAGTTTGTTGAGAGGTGAGAGAAAAAAAGTGAGCCACATATTACATTCTATAATAGGAAAAAGATGAAATGTGAAGTTCATTTTGACGAATGGAAATGGAAAGTGTGAAATTTATTTGGGGACGGAGGGAGTATATATTAAAGATAGGGCCTTGCCTTGAAATCTCCACTAATGTCGCTGTCAATGACAAGGAAAAGTGGCTTTCTTGTAAAGGGCAGAAGGTCACAGGGGAAAATGTCATTCAAACCTACGTAAGCCAAATAAATAAATAAATATTTCAGTATACTGACATCACTGAACAATATATGAAAAAGAATTGAAGAATAAGGTTTTCAAAGATTCTTCGAAAGATATGCTGAATTTGCATCCCACGTATAATATATTTCAAAAAACATAGTTCGGGCTTTAAAAGTGGGTGCTAACTTCAGAATACGTGGTTTATATATAGTGATCAACTAGGCAAACTGAAGAGAACAATGTTTTGATAGAACACAAAATACTAGAGAAAAATGTTAAATCTAGTATCTTTTAATTATATTAACTAGTGAACATTTTAACTCTATTAATGGATACATTTCTCTGGGGTTTTTAATTAACATATTGAGGAATAATTTTGCAACTATTTTACATTTAACAGATGCACTTATGGTATTACTGGTTTATATATAGTGATCAACTAGGCAAACTGAAGAGAACAATGTTTTGATAGAACACAAAATACTAAAGAAAAATGCTAAATCTAGTATCTTTTAATTATATTAACTAGTGAACATTTTTACTCTTTATTAATGGATACATTTCTCCGGGGGTTTTAATTAACATATTGAGGAATAATTTTGCAACTATTTTACATTTAACAGATGCACTTACGGTATTACTACCTCGAGAACCAATATTTAATCCACGGATGCCACAACTTAAGGGATCCTTTTTGGCAGGAGCAGAATTTGCATTATCGAATTCAGGCTTGAAGGGAGATGTGGAGGCAGCTTCAGAGTCATTGAAGTGAGGAGACTGGAATCCTCTGAAAGTGCTCTCTGAAGTATCCCCAGAAGCTCCACCATGAGATGAAGATAAAATAGGGGTTTGACAGCTTCCTGATGCATCAAGAATCTTAATATGAGTGGCATTTAATCAACCTCAAATTTCAATATAGGTAACTTATAGACATCAGAAAGATATCAATGTGAACTCTTGCTACCTGAAGCTGACAGATATATGAAGAGCACACCATCTGGAGGAAGCTCATCACAGATTGTTGCCAAAACCTACCCACAAATGTAACTTTTAATGCTAAAGCAACAACTTTTTAAATTGTCCCAAGCACATCACAGATTGTAATTTTTAAGCTAAAACATAACAATTTTTTGAATAAAATTATGCATACTAAAGTGAAATTTGATTGAAACTTAGTGGAGTTAACAAACCCACAAATAACTAAAGAATACCTAAAGTTATGAAATCATATCAGCATGGGTAAACTTGTGTAAAAACTTTTGTGTGCAGAACTATAGATGCCAATTTTCTGCCTTGAAAATATGTGCAGATATTACCAAGAAAATGCTCCAAGAGCTTAAGTTCAACACAAGAAAACTCCCAAAAAGTAATCTTCCCAAACTTAAGGAAAAATTTCTTCAGTCACCATGCTAGGAATCTAGCTATAGAAACAAGCTAACTACTTTGAGGAAGACTATTGAGCAGTGAATACTCACTGCTATAAAACTTGTAATAGTTGGACGGTATAAAATGGCTTTCCGAGGATTGAGAGGCAATGTAGGGTCAGCTAGATCTTGCGAATAGTTAACACACCTAGGTCCAGGATTTCCACTCTGCCCAGTGATGGAGCCAGCTCCACTTGTCTGATAAAATGAGCCACTAGGTTCCCACTCAAGACATTGTAGCATTCTGAAAGTGTCAAGAGTCAATTCTGAGAATTTGACCTGGGCATCAAATGAAAACATATATGGAATCATTGCCGTCCATTGAACTAAGGATGCAACAAGTAAAAGCACCCATTTACACAGCCAAAAGAGCATAAAAAAGATACTGATAGCTCTAGAAGTAAGAAGAGAAGTTTATTCCAAGGTACTAACCTCAAGAGGATGATAACTGCACAATAGTGCATCTCTTAACCTTAGCTTTCTTTTGGTTTGAACAACATGTGGCAGACAATCTGAATGAAGGTCCAATACAATGCTATACCTCAAAGGTCTGATGTTGAAAAAAGCTGTGTCAGCTTTTAGAAATTTAGCTATTTCCTGAATGACCACCTTCCATTCTTTAAAATCAGTTTCCTGTAAATATGAGAGTTTAAAAGTCATTAATCATGACTGAGAATGTCTCACTTTGTTATTCAGCAAATGCTAGTGAGGCCAATATATATATATATATATATAGAATCTGTATGGTTAACATTTCGAAACAAGCCAAACTTTATTAAGAAATAAATACTCATCACAGCAAGAATAAACCCAAATAAAACAAACCAAATCAAGCATGCCCAGTATATCTCACTTGGAAGTAAGGTATAGGGAGGATAAGAAGTACTGTCAGTCTCTCACGCTACCTCTAGGATTGGAGAGGTTTTTGTGAACCCAGCAAGCAGTAAAAGGTAGTGTGAGCAGTGTAAAGGTACCAAAGCAAGCTCAAAATCCAGGAAAATGTAGAATAACTAATAACATGAAGAAGCAAAAAGCACGACAGCAGCAAAGCGGAAAAGGACAAGAAGAAAAAAAGGCAATCAATGGAAGCAAGAAAACAAGGTACTAGCTAAAGCTACCCAACTACACCAAGCTACATAGAGGGTCATGATCAGAGCCTAGCCCCTAACATCACTTGCTCATAACTCTACCAGGATTCAGCAATTCCAATATGGTGCCTCCAAGAACTCCTATCAGAGGACAGATGTATGTCCTTGTCAAGGTTTAAGGCTACGCAGTCCAATATCAGATGATCATCCCGCATCGTCTCAACAGAAATGTTCTTCACTCTCTTAACTAGTGTCATCACATCATTGCGGTGGAAGTGGCCAAACCAATGCAGTCTTCCCCCTCTTACTTTATCAGTAATAGACTTGACTCCTTACTCTGTGTTGAAAACTCCATTCAGTTTTATGTCCAACATGGTACAACCACATGAAGCATATACCATGGGATGCTCTCCTAGATCCCTATGTAAATCACATCCGAAATTCATCACTAAGAATGGAACCATTGTAGTGCACTCTGATAGTGAAGTAACTTTAGTCTTAGTTGCATTCTGGTTGAACCATAGTTGTTTTTCTATGAAAAAAGGGATATCTAGAAAATGAAAGCATTTCCAATTTGTTCATTTCTATAAAATCTTCACACCCAATGATGAATGATCTCCTACAAATGCTGCAAATGCAAGTAACTTCTAGATCTGAACATGCACCTATTTTTGGTAAGGCAAGTGAGTGATATTATAATACTACAATTTCACAACTCCCATTTGGTTTGCATAAAACATTAAATGATCGGAAGAAAGTATCAAATCTGACAACAGCCAGAAAATATGTCCATTATTTGCTTAAGTATCCACTGGAGTTAGTTTATCAAGCATGCATCTAACGAAACTAATGGAGCAGAAAAGTCAGCCACTGATTATAAAAATTTTCCCAAGATTTAAAAGTTTCACAGTAACAAATACTCCGTAACATGCTTCGTGCAAGGGAATATGACCTGGAATGCCTTGTTGCACTCGTCGAGCAACATTTTGAGCTGATTTACCAACTGAAGCACCATTTCTCGTCGATTCAGCACCAAACAGACAGTAAGAAATCTAGAAATGAGCCTCAATTGCTTGCATGCAAGATTAGCATCCTGAATCACGCTATCTTTGAAATACTCCCTGGTCAAAACAGCCTCGTAAAATATATAAGATTCTGACAAATAACTGGCCTCACTAGTCCTCATGTACTGCCCAAAGTAAAGCTGACCAATCCGAGAAGCAATATCACCAATCTCCCATCGCTTGAGACCTGCTTCCACCAATTTCTGTCGATTCTCTTGCTGAAATTTCCACAGCTGAGTATAAACCTTGAAAACCTTGTAGAAGTATGTATCATACCTGCATTTAAAAATCATGGCATAGGAGGGAAAGTAAGGTCAGTAAAAACAAAACCAAGTCAACTATACCTCAAATATCACCAATACAAGGTCAAATTTTCCCATCCCAATACTTTATTTAATCATGAAATCAATGAGAAAGTGCAAAATTCGATAAACACACACCATTGAAACATTACTACCACACTATATTCTTTTAAATCATCTCTGCAAGTCTAGGTTTGGTCTTCATACCCAGTGAGCTGTATACAAATTCAAATCCCCTTAATCCTCCATTACAAAACAAAGCTCTAAAGCCTATGGCTAAAAGAGCTTTTTCTATCAAAGTTAACTTCATATCCCAAAACCTTCATGTAATCATGCGAACTCAAAATGTTCATAGTGCATTGATCTGCCACAAATGCTAAATATTCTTATTTTGATACCATACCCAATTACTCACTATTCAAAAAAACAGTAACTTCAACGGAATAACATTCTCCCATAAGCAGCTAAGCTCATTATTTTATGAAATCTGGATAGCTTGGGGCTCAATTCATGTAGATTGATGAATACTTCCAGAGTTTCAGCCATCCAACTAACAAGAAGAAGAGAAATTCATTTGACCCCGTGTAAAAAGAATGGGTGGAAAAACCTGCTGCGATGGTAATACGGGAGATCACGAATCTTGGAGAACTTCTTGTCTGCCTTGGAAACCAGAGTCCAGTACACTTCGCTCACAGGAATGCTGCCGCTGCTACTGTTGTTCATGCCCTGATGATGAAGGTGATGATGTGACATTTCCACCTCCGCTCCCTTGTGCGATCGTATGCGGCAGAGTTTCACTCTCTCTAAAGCAAGAAAAAATTGTGTAAATGGACTGCCACAGCAACAAATGAGACTGAAATGAAGAAAAAAAATCCAAAGCACACCTAATTAGCTTTACTTAAAAGCACTTAAACTAGACAAGAACTTGTTGTCTTGATTCAAAATATCTCACTCATGTTCTTATAATACTCGTATTTTTTTGCTTCGAATGATAAAATAGTAGGACACATAAATATTATGTTCTGATTTCAGTATATGTCTATTTATTTATTTATTTATATAATGGTATAACAAAAAAGTATCTCAATTTTTTTTCCTGAAAGTTCGCTCTACACAAGCGAACAATTCAAATGTAGATCTCGCATGAGTCGTCGTCTTTTCCTCAAGATTGCCAGCGATTTAGTGAGTGTGACTCCTTTATTATGTTGCAACATAATGCCCAACAGAAAGTTGGGTTTTCACGGTTACAAAAGTGCATTGCAGAAGATGGCAGAAGTACCTTAAACTCTTTATGTGCGGTGTTTGTGTCTCATATTAGTCACTCTTTTAATGTTGTCGCTCATGTATTAGCTAGGCAAGTTGAGTTTGCTACTAATGTTTGGGAGTATGTTCCTCCTGACTTTAATTGTTTCTCTTCTGAGTTGATCTAATGGATATTCTTTTCTTTCAAAAAAAGGTGCACTACAGCGCTACAATAATGGACACACGACACATCTGTTGTCTCACTAGATGAGTATTTATGCATGTCCGACCGAACTGGGTATGAATTCGTGTGCGAGTTTCGCAAATGGGTTACGAGGCGATACAACAAAGAATATTTGCGAAGCAAACACAAAAAAATATATAAGCGTTATAGGCTGCCCACCAAGCTCGACATGGATTTCCTCGATCACATGTTAGGTAGTATTGATTGTGTGCACTAGGCGTGGCGTAATTGTCTCAATTTATGGCGAGGACAATATATGTACTTTGATTAGGGGCACCCCACAATCATGCTTCAATTTGTTGTCATGCATTGTCTTTGGATATGGCATGCCTTTTTTGGTGTGGTCGATTCGAACAACGATTTGAATATTCCGGGACAATGGGATATATTCAACGACATCGTGCCTGGTTGTGGTGAAATACACGCACGAGTATTCTCTTGCCTGCAATATATCTATAGACTGCACGACTATAGTAAAAACTATACCGTTTTGTGATGATCCGAAGAGAAAGAAGTTTGCCAAATACCAAAAATCGACAAGAAAAATTTTGGAACGTCATCTTGGTGTGATCAACCAAAAATGACACATTGTGCAAAACTCGGCGCAAGCATTATTATCCATAAATTATGAAATGTTATGTAACTTCTTGCATTGTACATAACATGATTATTGAAGATGAATGACACGCAATATGTGAATACAATCTAAACGACGTGAACAAGTTTGCATTACACAACATGCATTCGCTCGAAAACCTCCGTTTCAATTTGATTGAGCATTTCTGAAATTCCGCTATACTACTTGTGGATGGCAAATAATCTTTTTTTATTGTACTTTTTTTACTCCATTAGATTTTTTGTGGCATGGTATCATTGTAAATTTAACTTAGATAAATAATTTATTTTAAATAATTTTAATTTATAAATATAATAAATGTAAAAAAGGAATATAATAGAATGAAAAAAAAGGTTAGAAGGGATAGTGTGATGGGTGTGTCAGCTCAGGTTCTTACTGGTATTTTTTTGTCGTGACTAGGTATCAGTTAATTACGCGAAGATGACCGGCGCCGGAGCCACTTCGCCGAGGAAACACTTGGCCGCTTGTTGTCTATCGCACGAGTTCCACAAACGCGCTTCCGCTAACCCAAACGGGATTGCAGTGATACACGCTTGCGGCGGTGGTCGGCTATCGCAAGGATTCTGCCGCAATGAGAAAGGAGACAGTAGCGAGCAAACCTCAATCGGCTTCGATGAGCTCGTACCGGAGAAGAGGGTTTCATTTCACCCTATAACTTACGAAGGCGATATCTGCTTCACTTTCTCTGACATTCTCTCGGCCGTCGATTCTCTTAGTTCAAGGCTCCGCCGGATTCTCGACGGCGATGATGTTTCTCATCCTACTGAACTGCATTCAGGTATCCACAATCCGGTCGGTTATAGTGTATTAGCTGACTACTGACCTTTGAGTTTTGAAAAGTAATGTAGTCATTAAGATCTTAGTTATTCAACATGATGTGAAAGCTGTAAGCATTGAAGTTTCTTGTGAAGAATAAATTGCACCACATAATTAGCTTCATACCTTACCAACAATTGCGTTAGCGAATGGTATTTGTGAATAAATTTTTTCTGGTTTGCTTTTGTGTATGAACATGCATTAGTACATGGTTTGCTTAGTCAAGAACTTTTTTTACCTTCCCATCATTCAACTTCTTGTTGTCCTGTGTTCTTTTGGCATTTTTCTTTTTTCCCTGGTGGTTCCTGCTTCTTACTCATCTGAGGTTAGCAGGGAATGACATACTCAGGGATGAGTCAGTACAGGTTAAGAATTCTGGATCTCTGGATTCTTCTGGTCCACGTGTACACCGGTTCAATGAATCTCAAAAGACATATACTCCAAAAGTAGTCGGAATATATATGGAGCCATCTATTGAATACATTGTTACGGTCCTCTCTGTACTAAGATGCGGAGAGGCTTTTATGCCTTTGGACCCATCATGGCCTAACGAGAGGATATCACGAGTACTATCATCTTCAAAAGCAGAACTCGTTGTTGGTTGTAGGTCTCCGGTTTATAGTAGTTTTCACTGCATCGATAAGTTAGATTGGCTCTTTCATGATGCGAGCTGTCCTATTTTCTCTATAGCTATTGAAGATTACATAAAAAAGAATGATTTTGTTTCGTTGGATTTAGTGTGGCCTTGTGAAAGGGAAAGGTTAAGATCATTCTGTTACCTGATGTACACATCTGGGTCTACTGGGGAGCCTAAAGGTGTATGTGGCACTGAAGCAGGTGATAATTATTGTGATTCGCGAGTTAGCTGGCACTCTTCCATTCATTTTACTATTCAAGGCATAACTCTAATAACTTGCAGGTCTTCTGAATCGCTTTTTATGGATGCAAGAATTGTACCCCTTACATCTTGAAGATCGGTTGCTCTTCAAAACATCAATAAGCTTCATCGATCATTTGCAAGAGTTTCTTGGAGCTCTGCTTGCCACTTGTACGTTGGTTATACCCCCTTTCAATCAGCTCAAAGAAAATCTGTTTTATATTGTCAATATTTTACAGGTAGATCTACAACATTAATTTTATTAAAAAACATTCTTGTTTACTTCTCAATGCATGAAGGGAGACCATGATCACTTTTATCATTTATATCTGACTTATCCTGGACATCCATTGTAGAGATCTAAGAATTGAATGTTTTTAATATGCATACGCAGGATTACTTGATTGGGAGGATTATAGCCGTTCCATCATTTATGAGAGCAATTCTTCCTGCACTAGAAAGTGCACATTTTAGGACTATTCAAAGTTCTTTGAAAGTTTTAGTATTAAGTGGTGAAATTTTACACCTTTCCCTGTGGAAGGTCCTTGTGATGTTACTGCCCCGGACAGCTATTTTGAATTTATATGGGAGTACAGAGGTATGTTTTAGTATGTGTTCCAACTGGCCACACCCATTCAATTCTGATATACTCATAGTTGATCTCCAATGCTCATGGTTTTTTTGGACATCGGTTTGCAAGTAGGTTTCTGGTGACTGTACATACTTTGATTGCAAGAATTTACCTCTGATCTTGGAGCATGAAAATCTGAGTGATGTTCCTATCGGCTTGCCTTTGTACAATTGTGATATTATGCTCCATGGAGATGGCGATCCCATTGAAGGAGAGATATGTGTCAGTGGACTCTGCCTTTCAGCAGGATACTTTAAATATCCATCTATTTTGCCATTGGATTATGTAGAATTATCTCAGGGCTATGACAGTGATAGCCCCAACCTTAGAGTTCAACGATATTTTAGAACCGGGGATTTTGCTAGAAAACTTCAAAACGGGAACTTCGTTTTTATAGGTAGAAAAGATCGCACTGTAAAGATTAGTGGGCAGCGCATTGCTTTGGAGGAGGTTGAAAATGTTTTGCAGGAACATCAAGAAGTAGCTGATGCCGCTGTTATTTTCCGTAATGAAGGAGATATTTCACTCCTGGAAGCGCATCTGATAATGAAGGATAAGAGTGAACACGTTGACATATTGGGTTCTATCATGAATTGGATAGCTAGAAAACTCCCACCGGCTATGGTTCCTATTCGTTTCATCTTTGCCGAGTCATTTCCCACGTCTTTTAGTGGAAAAGTGGATTACAACCTATTGGCAAGTAGTTGTGTGTGCAACACAGTGTTCAATAGCAGGGTCGATGAAACTCAAGATTTGGATCTGATTCAAACTATCAAGAAGGTTTCTGGACTTCAAATTTGAAGACGCTTCACACATCTTCTACCATACTACCTCTATTCGGATTAGTTGTTCACTTTCTTGTTTTCGTTTATCCGATATTACTATATTAGTTGTCTACTTTCCATATATAATAATGAAATTATAATGAATTGTCTAAAATATCTTAGAGATAGAGTATGGGCATGGACACATGGTTAAGATGTATGAGAACGAGTGATAAACTCATTGGAAAGACATATTTGACATTTCAAACTCATTTCTTTAAAATGAATTTTTTAGAAAGTAGACAGCTAAATCTGGATGGAGGGAGCATTTCTTTTGTCTATTTATTTGTTTGTTTCCCAAATTTATGTAAACTAATAAAAGGGCTAGTGGAAATGCAGGAGTAAGCATTGAATTGTAGGACGGTTTAGAGGGAAGTGAAAATATTATGACGGAATTTTTGAAACTTAGTCTTTTTCTTTTATGAACAGGAGATGACCTTTGGTAGAGAATAGAGATGTCATAATGTGTATGAACATTGCACAATATATTGATCTTTGGCTCCATTCCTCCATGGAGCCAAAGATTCACTATTTTTTGGCTTTGGGGTATAATGGAATAAAGCAAATTGGCTCTTTAAATTGTCCGCGCTTCTTGCAATTGTGAAGTAGCAGGTAGTCAATGCAACTTTCGATGCTCATCATGGGTCATCTGGAAACAGCCGCTCTATGTTTTAAACATAGGGGTCAGACTGCGTGCATCCGACCCCCCTACCCCGCAATGGGCGGGAGCCATTGAGGCACTAGGGTAATGTTGTTGTTGGGGGGGGGGGGGTATAAACACAACTTTTCTAGAAACACCATTATAAATTGGACTGGAGGGAGTTTATGATAAGGTTGTGACATTGTGTACATATGACCTTAATAACCCGACCATCCCTTAGACCTTGCACATGGAGGAACGCTTACACATCGCACCACCCTTTTTGTATTTTAAGGGACAACTTTCAAGTTTCAACAACAAAAACCAACTTCTTGAGGTCTGTGGAAATACAGAGATACTGTTTCTGTTAGACCCTTGATCCATTGTTGCATTTACTACCCAAAACTTATTGAAAGAAAGAAGTGACGGAAGTTTAATGTGCTATTTTGATTTAGTCCATTCTTCTCATTTATGACTCTTATATCTCCATTGGCAATGGACATGCTTAAGCTAAATACCAAAGGACAACTTTGACTATATTATTTTAAATTATGTACTCCGTATTAAACATTACAAACTCAAAGTCTGGGCATTCTTACATGGCATATTCTCATACTCATAATTAGTTTATAGTCTTAGAGGTAGTGTCTTACATTATGGATATTTGTTGTGCAGGCTTTTTCTGATGGTCTAAAGGTTGATAACATCTCTGATAATGCTGATTTTTTTGAGATGGGTGGTAATTCTATTTCCGCTGCCTATGTCTCTTACACTTTAGGAATCAATATGAAGGACTTGTATACTTTCCCAACACCAAAGAAGCTTCAGCTGGCACTTCTGAGAAATGAAGTTTCATCCATTCATGATCTTACATCACGTGCGTCAAAAGGAGTCGATTACAAAGCGCCAGACAACAGCAAGTCTCTTTCTGTCAATTCAAAGGAACCATGTCATAGTAGAAGAGTGCCCCTTAGCAGACAATCTATTAAGCGCCTTAAGATGAACTCTGACGGATCTATTGATGTTAGTGCAAGAGACGGTTCCAATTCCAACTTGGATCTTATCAAATGTTCATTTAGTCGATGCAACCATGTGAAGCATGCCGATAAATGTGGGGGGGATAAATGCTATATTGTGCGCATGCAAGAATTTCCAAGCAATGGAAAAGTTTCAATACGAGAATACTTGAAAGTTCACATGGACTCTTGTGTTGATGCATCACCACTAATTGTGTATACAAAAAGTGATGTGTATGTGTTTATAGGATCTCACTCCCACAAGTTCGTTTGTATAAATGCCAACAGGTAGTGATGATTTGGACAACTTTAGTTAAGAATCTCAATATATCATCTCCTTCCTAAATTCATAACATGATTTTCATCCTATTGAGCTGATCCCAGACAAACCAGTATGAATGTGGTGCTTAGCTAAATATTTAAAACTGTTTTCTCAGGACACTAGAATGGCTTGGAGTTTGGTATTTTGGCATAAAATTTGTACTGTAAGAGTAGGGCACCGTATTTCCTTATCGACGATTTGATGTTTGTTATGATGGAAAGTATTTACTTTTCATCGGAATAAACACATTGAGTTTGTGCAAAAAGGAGGAAAAATTAGGTCAACCTTTCCTTATTCTCCATGGAAAGTGAATGGCAGACGGGAAGGTGGATCTTCATGGAAAGTGGATTAAATTCTACTTCGGTCACTTTCTAGGGAAAGTACCAAACACATCCTTAAAGTGAGTTTCTAGGCTGACTCAACTTGTCTTTGTAATTATCAATGTAGCTTACATGACAAAGCACGTAGGGTGCATGTAGATGTTCACGTTCCTCAGAACAATCAAGAAAAGAAAAAAGATAGAACTCATCTTCAGGCTCCTCAGAACCGACTAGACAATTAACTGAGAAAAAGTAAATTGAGTTCAATCTTAACTCAGTTAAGAAAGGGTGAAATGGGTCGCAAGAGCTGTGCTTCATCTTACGCATAATCACTCTTTATGACCATTGCCTCTTTTTGCACCCCTTGTTTGTCATCTAAGTAACATATTAGTATTTGGGAAGAACGGTTTCTACGGAGCAAAAAGGAATTTGAAACAAAGTATTTGGGTAGTTACTCATGTAATCACCATCACCACCTTAATTCCAAACATGTCATGTGTCTTTTGCTCATATCATGCATTTTTAGTGTTAATTACTAGCCTAAGATTAGTTATTGCTATACGTTCAAGTGACCCATAAAGATAGTGGCAAGCTTTTGTGATGGATGCTCTTGTTGTGTCAACCTTTTAAAGAAGAAACAATGAAATAAAATTCCGAACTTGTTACATCATATGTTTTTTCATGTATGTAGTAAATATCATGATATTGTGTACATTGCCAATGGAACTCAAGGAGTCCTTTTTTGACAATGTTTTAGCTTTGCAAAAGTTTTAAGCCATAAATACAACAATGCATCAAGGGTCTAATGGAAACAACCTATGTTATTTACAGAGGTAAGATTGTGTACATCTTGACTCCGGCACTCCACTGGAGTTGGGATTATAGTGGGTTGCTGTTGATGTTGTATTCATAATTTTCATGATATCACAATTAGTTGAGATGGCTACTATAGTGACATCTCATTGCAAAATCCAAAACTCATAACTTGTGCATATTCTGATCATTATCGGTTGAAAGAGGCTGCTATTTGATTTTGTATTATCTCTACTCTGGAGACAAACAATTAGTGATAGAGCATTTTTTCTTGGACCACGACTGTATCAGTTTTAAATATCCTGAGTGTTAATTTTCTATAAACTTTATAGTGGTATTGTTCAATGGATGGTGAAATTAAAAGGAAGAATTGAATGTTCAGCCGCAATAGTTGGTGATTTTTCTCAGGTTTTGACATGTGCCTCCAATTCATCATTTTTCTAACATAGCATTCAACAGCTTTCTATCTTCTAACACTACTTCAATACTTAATTTCCAGATTGTTGTTGGTTGTTACGAGGGAAATATTTATTTTCTTAGTTTTTCAAATGGCAGCACACTTTGGAGTTACAGAACACATGGAGAGGTATAAATAGGCAAATTTTCAATTTTCCTAAGCAGTCATCATTAATTCTATCTTAATGTGGACAGATGGTGTGTGCTCTGCTTATATTTCTTCATTTGATAATGATAAGACAAAAAAAACTGGTGCGTTAGGCATAAAAGATTTAGCAGTAGAATGATATCGCATATCCACGACATGTGATGTCCATATTTAGCTCTGTACAAATTACAATAAATTATTGCTCTTTGAATTTGGATGGTTGAAGTTTTGTCACCCTAACTTTCTCAATTTGTTTTGACTATTGAAATAATCTCATTTTTCAGTAAATCAACAATCTAATTTTTCATGCCCTCTTTTGTTTTTTACACAATATTGAAAAGGTCAAATCACAGCCAGTGGAAGACAAATCCAAGCACCTGGTCTGGTAATATTTCATTGCGTTCCTATATCATTGTTATTGTAAAGTCATTGTCTACTGCAACTCTATCCCTTTTTGGCACTCTTAATAGTGGAATCTCATCGACTAATTCTGAAAATTTTCGTTGATAGAGAAGTTGGTTGTCTGGTTCTATGATTTGCTCAGTTGGAATAGTCGTCTTTACTTGGATCTACTGGTGTTTATGTATGAGTTGGATATATTGGATTTGTTTGATTTGGTTTGGTTAATTATGGTTACTATGAAGAGAAACTAATGGATTAAGATTGTCTTTTTTGATGCTCTACACCTGAAATGTGGTTCTGTTTACTCTGCTCGTGTGTGTGTGACAGTGTGTGTTTTGTATTTTTTCAAAGGTTCAATGGCCTATTATCCAATGAATATAGAATACTTTTAGGGTAAGACACTAAGACTCTTTACTCTTTCTTTGAGTTTCTTTCTGATATATATTTAATCTGGAAGCAAGAAGCATTACAGTATATTCAGCATTTCTTGGAAAGCGTAGATGTACGATAGCTGTGGTGTAAGCACCTAGCTGATGGTTTATTGGTATGAATGTTGATTCTTATTTCACCCTTATGATTTCAACTCTATTTAAGCTTTAGGATTGGGTCACAAAATCTTTGTTCAAAACTTTGTGTTTACAGATCGGGTTATTTTTTTCAAGTGTAATAATATAGTACTATGACTATCACATGATAGTGAAGTGTCAAATACTCTTTACAATAACCCATACATACACTAACATACAATACTCCATCCTTCAATTGAAGTGTGGAAATGTGAACAGCTTATGCCGCTATGGAACTCTATCTTTAACCTCTTGAGTGTTTGCATGCTGCCTTCAACTACTGTCCAGTTCCAATGTACTTCCCTTTATGCAAAGTCTACTGATAATACTAGAGATTGACACCTTCAGTTTATTTAACTCAGACAATGAGATGGTGCCTTCAGTTTGCTGCCAAAACTTTTGCTTTACTTTTCAACGAAATGTATGTGTGTTGATAGTTTGACATTTATTAATTTATTCTGACAAATTCAAGAAGGTAATACACTCATGCTCTCACTGTCTCACATTCTATTTTCTCTCTGCATTTCATGTCCTCTTACCTGACTAAATAATTTTATGCAGGTGTGGGTCACATGACCACAACCTTTATGCCCTGGACTACAGAAGCTATAGCTGTGTTTTCAAAATATCTTGTGGTGGAAGCATATTTGGCTCACCTGCAATTGATGAGGTGGGAGTTTTGAATTTCGAAGTACAAGAACAACCTAGTAGAGTCCCTATTGCGTTGCGATCTATGACCATTTATAGTAAATGCACTAATCTGTGTACTATTTGTCGTACTGAACTGTTTTCACTTAACAGGTGATGGTGCAAGGCTGTGATCTGAAGTATTTGTTTACTTACCATTTTCTTGTTTCTAATAACTGTTTTTGCATCTAAAAACTGCTTTCTGCCTTTTTTAGATGCAAGAAAAACTTTATGTGGCATCAACAAGTGGACGGCTAACAGCAGCATCTACTGAGGTATTTTTTATTTGTCATCTTGAAAAAGTCTTGTTGTACTATCGAATACTATCTCCGGTTTGTTATCTAAACAATTTTTTGTCATGCAGACTCAGCTGTCTCATGTACTATGGGTAAAAGATCTGGGAGCCCCTGTTTTTGGGCCGCTCTCCATAAACTCTACATATGAGATAGGTACATTTTTCATTCTGATCTATATTTTCAAGGTTTGTAGTGAGCAATCCTTGGCAGACTTCTATGGATGCTCCAGCACAGGTATGCTCACCCAACTCCTGCAATTTCATTTGATAATTATCTTAATTTTGGTATTTTAGTGATTTGCTGTCTTGTTGATGGAAGTGTTCTTGCGTTGGATGTGACTGGGGCAATTGTTTGGAAGGTATTTTGACATTTTTAAAAGTAAATTACATACTTTGACTTTGCATCAAAGCAGTTCATGATATCTTGACCAAATGTCCATATCAATTTGGGTAAATTGCGAAACAAATCATTCATGTATATTTTTAACCAAACCAAACAAGTCTCGCACAGCCCACTCAAGTGTTTTTGTTTTTTTGTTTTTTGTTTTTGGCGCTGGGGGGGGGAGGTGGCAGGCAAGGTGTACAGAGATTGTTTCCAGGAGGACCCCAATATTTTTATTTTTAGGATGTTAGAAAGGAGATTAACAAGAACAACCCAGTTGACTAATGTCTAGTAAGCTATATGACTGTTTTTTTAGGGTGCATTTCGAATTGTGGGTTCCTAACTAAGCTGCATGAATTGATGAAGGCCGTTCTTTTGAACAACCTCAAAGCAAGAACATGTCAATACATTCACAAAATATTCCCATCCCATTGAAACAGGCGAGCTTGGTGGTGAATAGATTCTCCATTAGTGATTGTCTTTATTATTTTCATTAGAAGATCATATTTAGCATTTATAGCGTTTATCCGTCCATCCATCCTATTTTGTCCATCGATGCTTGTGTCCATTTTCTTTGACTCATCTTTCAGTGCTATTTGTCAGACACTATACTCTTTCTTTTGATGAATCAGGGAAGAACAGGTGGCCCGATATTTGCAGGACCATGCATGTCACCTACATTGCCATCTCAGGTGATTATATATAATCCTTTACATGTCTCATTTGACAGATACACAACTCTGGATCTAGAATTTCTTAAATGCAGCACTGCAATATAACATGCTTCTTTTTAAACATATATATACAAAAAATATTTGTAGGTGCTTGTTTGTTCAAGAGATGGCTGCATCTATTCATTTGACCTGGTGTGTGAATCTGCATGATTACCATATGCTCTACTGTTTCATAAGCTTATTCTGTATTATTTTTTAGCGTACTGCTTTGACAACAGTGGTGATTAATGCTGTGGCAGGGAAACGGGAAATTAATCTGGAAACACAGTGTCGGAGATCCCATCACTGCATCTGCATACATCGATGAAAACTTGATTTTGGTTCACGATCACCACCCTCTACCCCGGAGGTTGTTTCGTACTACTAGTCTTAATTGCTTTTTGAAACAAAAATTGGAGTCCCATTTTTTTTTTTGCTGCGGTGAGTTGGAAAATTGTACATCAACTTCTCAACGCACCGCATCTTGGTGTCTTACGTGCATTGCTGGAGTATGTTGAGGGGGACAACTTCTCAACCTGTTTTTCCAACTGTACCACTCAAAAGTACTCCCTCCCTCCAAAGATCTTTTCACTTTCCTATTTTGTCCATCCATTTTTTCTTCTCATTTCCTTTTATGGCAAAGGAATTTGTCTTAAATGTCAAATTTGTCCTTTCACTTATATTATGATTACGTATCAAATCTCCACTATTCACTTTTATTGGACTAACTCAAGGTTATATAGGAAGAGAGGGGGGAAAAGTACTACAGAAGATCTCTCTAATGCAAGCATGACTGTGCCTACTCATTACAGGCTCATCTGTGTATGCACCAGTTCTGGAAGCATTCATGTGCTTCAAGTCAACTCTGATCATCATAATGAAGCAGCAACAAAGTCATCGCCCGAGGAAGGTGTGATGATGGTACAGGAAATCATTAGCTTTGATCTTGGAGGTGAAATATTTTCGTCCCCTGTGATGATCGGCGGAAGCATATTTGTTGGAGCCCGGGATGATTACTTGCACTGCTTAAAGCTGGATTTACAGGTTCTAACTCAAAACTTAAACTCAACCCTATGTATGTCTTAGGCATTATCATATGCACTCATGGTAACACCAATTATGCCTCTTTTTATACAGATTTTCTTCTTCTTTCTTTCTTGAATGCTTTTTACAATAGACCTCTTCATAATATCGAAATGATCGAATGTGTGGCTCAGAAGTCTTATTTCTCTAAGCAAATTCTAATCATATTTTTTTAAATTTTTTTTAACATTTTTTTTAGAATTCAGTGAAAGTCAAACAAGTAAGTTTTTTTTTTTTTGCGAGACCGAAGGAGTAACCCACGGTACTTCGGGGAAAAAACTTTTTCACCACTTTTCGACCAACTTTTGTTTTCTTCATGACGAGACGAGCCAATAAAGGCCTTACACAACAATACTCGGTATATTATGTTATATATGCCCTTTTCATATTTGACCTCGAGTAATTAATAATATTATGTGTAATATTAAATCTAAAAATACTACGGGGTTTTAATTCTTTTTAGAATTTCGAAATAATAAGGAAGATCTTTTTATTTTTTAAGAAACTAAATAATAAAAAAATAATGAAAAGTAGCAATATATGTTTTGTACTCGATTATTAGTCAATAATGAGTATTATGATGTCCCTTGAATGTCAATGCTTTTATATTCTTGTCCACGACACACATTAAAAAAGCAATATAATGAATATATCTTCGTGAATTTATTTCTCGTTATTAAAAATCAAACCATTTTTAATTGCCAGCCTAGCAAAGAATGTTTTCATGACAAGGTTTATTCCTAACTAAACAAATGGGGTCGACTCCAAACACAAACCTAATCCAATGAAAACACTAAAACAGGCCAGTTGAGAGATGCCCCCCACCCCCACCCCACATTATATCATGCAAGTGCATTAAAAAGATTTATCCGATCTCTAGAGTTCTTCACCAATGTTTTTCTTTTTTGTACCTCTTCTTTGTCTCTGTCATACTTCTCTTTCACAAAATAGAAATGAGAATAGTTTTCTGGGGGCAGATGGAAAAAGAAAGGAGAAAGATTTTCAGAACAAAGAGAGTCGTTTTTACCTTGCGGGTAGGAATTTTTTTGACGGTATTTTAGACATTTTAAATGGGGTGGAACCGTTTTATGGGATGTATGATAGAAGAGTTTTGTGAAAGGGTGGGAGTATAAATTATGCACCTGCATCCATGCAAGTGCAACTAAATTAGGCCAAGTATCTTATCAAAAACACAATTCAAGAAATGCTACAAAACACTTATAGAAAATTAAAGTTTAAGAGATAATATTCCCCATAATACATTAATAATATATATATGGTCAGTTTGATCATGATGGCTTGCACATAGATCAAAAGCGAATAAAAGCGTGGAGATTTTTTATTTGCTTCAATTGATGTCACATTTAATAGGTAGAAGTTGATATGTAAAAGTGTAAATATGTGATTCCTTGACGAAATTGAACTACATGTATCATGTATATGTACTAAAAATGGAACAACCATGGAAAGAAAAAAAAGATAGAACTCATCTCTGGATTCATCAGAATCGACCAGACAATTAATTGAGAAAAAAGTAAATTGAGTTTAATCTTAATTCGGTTAAGAAAGAGTGAAATTGGTTCTTGCTACATGCAAGAGTTGCGCTTCATCTTACGCATAATCACTCTTCATGACCATTGATACGAGTCGAACTTATGCTTTATATTACCTCTTTTTGCACCTCTTGTTTGTCATCTAAGCAACATACTCCGTATTACGGAGTATTTAGAAAGAATGATGTCTATGGAGTATAAAGGAACTCGGAACAAACAAATACTATACCCGGAGTAAATAAATAAAAACGTTGACTGTTATTCATAAATGAAGACATATATGATCACTTAGTAATTTCATACTTTGTTCAATTATTCATTATAATGTTTATATACATGCCCTTTGTCTCATAAAATATCTTACACAATAATTATAAAACACATATAACATAAGTATAATTTTAATTAATAATTTTTTATTAAAAAAACAAAATTTCATATCAAAATTTTAAAAATGAAGTCAATCTTATTAAATTTATTTTATAACTATGTTTTTCACAATTTGTGAAGCAGTTTGTAGAATTGGACTAAAAAAATTACGGAATAAAATGAAAAGAATTGATAGAATATTAATTGTCTCGTTCATTGCTTCCTCATAAAGATAGGGATAGACGGATAGTTATTAATTTGATAATTGTTATTTAGGCATGCATTATTATGAATTAGGGAGTTGTTCGATCGGTTGGTATACCCACTTTGTGTGCTAATCCTATTAAGTGACAAATTATAATGATGGCAATTATTACTATAACCCATTTTGATAAAGTCGACATTAGCTAGACACACATTATCTATGTTTAATTGATCCATTTAATTAATTATAACGAAAATATGCCAGTATTAAATGTTATATGATGTTTACACACACACACATATATATGTTCTGGTGAGAATGCGATCTTAGGAGAGAAATGAGAATAAATCTGGTGCTTTAGCATAATGATCTAAAAAAGTTATATAAAAAATAAAATTAAAATAAGTTTTTCACCTTTTCTTAAAAGAATGAAATAAATCATCCACAGTACAATACTTCTCCCTTTCCCAAATTTAATTTTTAGTTGTATACTACTGTAGTATTATTTTAATATTCTTTTTAGCATTTTTAAACTTTTTGGTGAAATAATGTGAAATAAATTGTTTTGAAAAAGGAGGAAATATATAAGTTAGTGTTCCTAAAAATAAAAAAGAACATGGACAGCTCAGACAGAATGTGAGATAGATCTCATTTGGCTTAATACTTGTTTGATACTCATTTTGTTCCTAAAAATTGATTTTTTGGGTCAAATTATGGATTGTTTTGATCACGAATGAAATATAAATTTAAAAAATTAAATATTATAAAAACTTGATATTTCAAAATCATATTTTGAAATAAACTCAATTTTACTAAGTTTACATTATAACTAAATACTTTTTCCATAATTTACGGTCAAAGAGTGTCACAGTTTGACTAATAAAATTAAACTGTGACAATCTTTTAGGGACGGAGGGAGTAATTAATTAACAATAATTTAAGAAAAAGAATAATTCTAAACGTGGACATATCACATTGGTATTGTGTTCAAATTCTCGCCTCCTGGTTTAATGCATATCCATATTTATATTATATTGATTAGTGGTGTAAAAATGTTTGTCTAATTTTGATTTTTTTGTAATTAAAATTGATAAAATTTGATCATTAATTAAATTAAATTAATAATTGATATTGATACAAAATAAATTTAATAGATTTTTTATAAAAAATTTAATTCCTTTATGATATCAATATCTTAAAATCTATAAAATGAACATATATAGATTTTAGGACCACGTAAGAATTTGTTAAGTTATTTTTACTTTCATCCAACCTGATTTTGTTTTCTCCCTACATTTTTCATTTTGAATCATCATAATTCTTTTTTCTGTTTCTTTAAATTGAAAGATTTTTTACAATTTTATTTAAGTATTTTATTGAAAACAATATGGAATTCTAAAAATTTTCTTTTTTTGAAGCGAAAGATAATGAGTATTGGTAAATCTACACATGGACAAAAATAATACTCCCTCTCTTTCAATTTAACCCTCAATTATTATTACAATCTCTTAAAAATTCATAACTGTATGTATATATATTTATTAATCATTTAGTAAAATAAAATATTCTTGATGTCTACCATTTTGTAAACTTTTGGTATAGTTAGTTTTCAAGGGTGTAATATGTAATTTTTTTCAATTTTAATTTGTAAGTAAAATAATTTTAAAAGACATGATATTTTGCACACTCTTCGGAATGGGAAGAGTAAATATACCATAACATGACTTCAAAATCAAATTAAATATTTTTTTTGATAGAAAAGATTTCACAGAATTTTAGTTAGATTTACAAAATATTAGAGTTCTATTTAGATGTATTTCATTCATAGTTAAGAACATTTTATAAATGTTTTTTTTCTGTTTTCTCTCAGAAAATTTGGGAATTGTGTGCATGTTATGATAAGGTTCCAACTTCCAATAATTTAAACACACACAGAAAATTAAAAAAAAAAAAAAAAAAAAAAAAAAAAAAAAAAAAAAAAGTGGCCCATCCTGGCGCTGGGCAATAAGTCAATAACTAATCCCCCCATAAAAGTGTGTTTATTTACCTAATCACATGCACAATAGTACAAACCCCGGCCTTCTTTCCTTCTTAACCCATAATTCCATATTTCCATTACCTAATCACTATTTTACAACCTTGTTTGGAACAAACTTTTCAATCATTTTAGATAAGATTTTAATAATTTAAATTAGATTTTAAGTTGTTAAAATTTTTTGAAAAAATCAATGAAGTGTAATGCTATAGTTAGCTAGAAATTTTAGTGTCAATATATTCCTATTGAAATGTAGTTTTCAATTTCAATTTTTTATGAAATATAACAATGTATAAATATAGATAATAATGGTCAAAATACAATATTAAAGAAAAAAATATTTTAGGAGACAACATTATTTTTTCAATTCTCCCTAAAAAGCATGAAAAATGATTTTTGAGAAGTTCTTTTGGGGAGTATCAATTATCGTGTCCTCCCAATACCGCACATGACTAACGAGTTCATATATGAATCTAACTAGTTCATGACAAAAGTATGCCAAAAATTAAAATTTACTTTAAAACCTTTGGTCTTGACTTGTTATTATTATTATTATTATTATTATTATTATTATTATTATTATTATTATTGAAAAAAATACTCTGTAATATAAAACGAGAAATTTACCTAAATAGGACTAAAACATAAGGACTTTCCCAATATAGGACCATATATTTTTATTTCCCGGACCTTTGGTCATTATGAAGTAGTCATTATTTAAGTAAATGTCCATCAATACTGGACATTATTCCTCCCACTAGGTCATTATTAAGTCTTATTTAGGGAATAAAAAAATTTAAGTCCTACATTAGGAAAGTCATTATGTTTTAGTCCTATTTAATGCAAATTTCACATGAAAAAAATGATTTCAAACATGACTTAAATTAATAATAAAGACATACTTCCTCCATTTCATAAAACGATTCATATTTTGACTTATGATAAATAAGAAGTGTATATTTATTGTTTTTTTAATTTTGCATTGAATATAATAGGTAATAGTAAGATGTGATGAATATATTATTAGTGAAAGCATGATGTGATCTGATAGGTTGGGGAAAAAGTTATTTTTTAATAAAAAGTGAAAATGTTTTGAGAAAAACAAAAAATGAAAGAGAATGTAATTTAAGAAATGGATGGAATATAAAAGCCCTTGGACTCATATAGGACTTATCATTGGCAATGTACACGTCAATATTATTTATATATTGTGTGTGGGGGGTGGTAGTGTGGCGATGACAGTGGCAGTGTGATCGAGAGAATGATAGTGTGGCGCGGAATTTACAATGCGGCAGTGTGGCGATGATGGTGGTAGTGTAGCAGATCAGAGAGGGTGACAGTGTGACACAAAGGACCATAGTTTGGTGGCGGCAAAGCAAAAGAGTTGATACACTTGATAGTCTGACAAAGGAGCTGATAGCGTGGCGGAGAAGTTGGAAGTATGGTGGTACTATTGTCAAAAGATAAAATTGTAATTTTATTTAAAAATAACTCCTATTTCATGCCAAAAGTTGCATTTTTTATTTTGGGGTATTTTGGACATATTACTCGTATTCCACGTTTTTCTCTCGAATGAAAATGATTACCTCCGCCTCAAAAAGAGAATCACCGTCTAACTTTTTTAATAAAAATTGTGATACTTTTGACGATGAATAAAATACTCTTTAAAATATAAATTTTAAAAAAGTTGATATATCAAAACTGAGAAATGCTGGAGTCACAAACACTTCGGTCACAAAATACACAATCTTGCCATTTGTGCACCTAACTAAATGAATAAAATGATGTTGAATAATTTAAAAGTAAACATTTAAATACACAAGTGGTAAGTTTGTGTATTTTGTGATCGAAATATTTGTGAATCTAACATTTTTCATTAAACTACATTTAAATTGAGCCCATCTAATTATACGGAGTATTAAATTTATTAAGACGTTAAAAAAGAAATAAAAAAAAAAAGATTTATTTAAAGAGAGAGGTAGTAGGCACTAGGGTCTAGGCACCATTTGGCATCTAATGACAATGACAATTACAATAAATTAAAAATTGTAATTAAACCTCTTGAATCCATCCATACATATATATAGTGGCACCGGCCAGCACAAAACATTGCGTCTTAAATTAAACATTCCAAATACAATAAAAAAAAGCCATGTCAATATATTCCATTCCTCTTCCGCCGGCCGCCGCCGAAAGATCATCGACGCGTCTTCTTCTTCTCTCCGCCGCAATCTTCCTCTCCTACGCCGCTGCAGCGGCGGCGTTCAACGTCACCACGATCCCCTTCAACCAGGGCTTCACCGCCCTCTTCGGCGAACCCAACATCCTCCGTTCGCTCCGCGATGACGCCGTCAGCCTTCATCTCGACCGTTATACAGGCCGGTACTCTTCTCTCTTTCTCTCTCCCCACAAAATATTTTTTTCATTTTTTTCAACATTTTTCTTAATTTCGCAAAATTAAAATGAAAAGTTAATTCAGAAGAGGTGAAGTAATCTTTTGTGAGTCAAAATAAGAACTGTTTTACAAAACGAGTTGAGTATTGCCAAAGAATTTTTAGTTTGACTTTAGCCGAATTTTTTTTTAAAAAAATATGAAGTTAAAATATGATTAAATGAGAAAATAAATTTTTCAAAAAGGAGGACATAAATATTAAGGAGCATTTTATTTTTTTAATGAAAAAAAGTGAACTTTTTTAGAGGATAAGAAATTGGTGAGGAGAAGGTAGAACTATTCTTGGGGAAAGTTTATGTACTTTGATGGTAAGAGGGAAAATATATAATCTAATTATTATACTCTGTAATATTTTTAAACTTATTATTTCGATGGTTCGTTTGGGGTTATTAAAATTTGAAATTCTCTTTTTTTTTTCATGAAATAATTTCGTATTTGATTCTTTATATATTCCAAAAAAGTGTGCCACTTTCCTTTTAAAGAACCTTAATTGTGATTTGTATAAAGTACTTAATGAAGATGAATGATGCAAGTAATCAAATATGGTTATTATGGATTTTAATTTATATGTTAATTCAATGTTTTTCATAGATTAAAGTTCAAGTTAATTTAATACTAGTAGAATATATGACGGGGTAATTTATTTAATTTCTTGGTTAGTTATCTATTTATTCGATTACGAGTATCTTTTTTTATTTATTACTTGCTTTAATTATGACCGGCCATAATTATATTTAGCTTTCCTTATATACCCTTTTAGCATAAAAATAAATACCCAATAGTGCCTATCAATTTACGGTTGTGTTTGTTCTCTCTCTCACCTGGGGAAGGTTGGATTTGTCTCAAATTTGTGTGGTTGAGAATTGAGATTATGGCTTAATTAACGACACTTAGTTTGCTCAATTATATAAAACTATTAGCTAAAATAGTATTCCATCAAAATTAGTTATTCGGGACGTTTCATTGGGAATCATTGTCATAGTATGACCTGGTCTCATACGTTATTCCGTTCAACAAAATTAATGGGTCCCATCTCCTAATCCTCCCAAAATCTTCCCTGCCGGCTCCCTTGCTTCTACCAATTAGCTACGGTAATTACTGTATCTAATTTGCAGGGGGGAGCAGGGGATTGGAGCCATAACTTTTTTTTTGAACGGGAGTATCGTAGGAGACTCGTGTCATCCCACGACCAGAGCTTCAACTTGACTGGTGTCATAAAATATTAAAATGACACCCAAAGTAAGTGCTATTCTTTTTAAACAATTTATGAATGAATTTGCAGGTTCTGGGTTCAAGTCATCGGATCTATACAACCACGGCTTCTTCAGTGCCAAGATTAAACTGCCGTCCGACTACACCGCCGGAATCGTCGTCGCATTCTACGTATGTTCCAATCACATCAAAACCTTGCTCAACGATTTAGATGTAAACTTAACCAACACTCGTAACGCTTCAAAAAATTTATATATATTCACGTACAAAACTCGACCAAATTTTGTCACGTGAACTTCATCGTAGACACGTTTTTCTTCTTATTTGCACGCAACTTATATTAATTTAGTTTGTCGTAAATTGTAGACGACGAACGGGGACGTGTTTGAGAAGACGCACGACGAATTGGACTTTGAGTTTCTGGGGAATGTGAAGGGGAAGGAATGGAGGTTTCAGACGAATGTGTACGGAAATGGGAGCACAAACAGGGGAAGGGAAGAGAGGTATTTCCTCTGGTTTGACCCCTCCCATGACTTCCATCGCTACAGTATTCTTTGGACCAATCAAACCATTCGGTATGTACCCAATATCTTTTCCTCTATTCGTTCTTCTTCTTTTTTTTTAAATAAACCTTATGATCCTTTTTTTTTGATGTATTGAAAAATAAATAAGTATATATAATACGGAGTATATGTACGAACATAATTTTTTTCCGTAATTTATTGATACTAAATTTACATCACAAATTAATGTATCTTTTCCGTAATTTTTAGTCAACGTTTTAAAAACTTGACCTTGAAAGTCAAAATAGAAAGATTCAGAGGAGATAGAGAGTGAGTATAAAACAAGAGATGTCAAAATTATACCTTTTTACATAAATAATTAATAAAATAGAAAAATACAGCAATCAAAATTGGACCTTATAAAAAAATGAAAATGAAAATATTTTTGAGAAGAATAATGATCACACAAGTTGTTTTTGAATCTTCTTAGCTAAGGAATCATCAATTAATAATTTTTGTGGGTAGAGAGAGAGAGTTAAGTGGGTTATTATTATGTTGATGATGCACATGAAAAATTGGACCAATTCAATTGCGTGCGAAATCCGTTTCTATCTTATTCTAAATAAAATGTGTTGTTGACTACAACTCCATAGGCACCAAATTGGAACTAAATTTAATTAGTAGGGTCACATGTCGGCCAACTTTAATTAACCTCCCGAGTGCTATATTTTAAATTTATATTTACAAGATACTATTTATATAGTCAAACTTCATTCACCTTTCTTACTTATTTTTGTTAGTTATTTGATAAAGTATTGTAATATAATCATGTTACTTTATGTTTTATAGAACTTTAAATGTAGTTTTTTAAATATTTCATTGTTATTTTTTAATGTTACACTTATAGTTAAATAAATTGAATTGAAAATAATTTAAGCCAAAACTTGTAAATCGAATTGGAAGAAAGTTTTAGGAGGGAGAGAGTATTAATAAAAAATCATTTCATCATGGTACTTTGTTGGTTCAAGGAATTTGGAAGCTAAGTCAATAAAGGGCATATTTGGAAAGAGTGTTCGAGATTAGCGTTACCGTTTTAAAAAAATTATCCATGTACAATATTTAGCGTTAGCATTTTCAAAGTAATCTACAACGTTGAATTTTAACCAGAATGCTAACGCTAATCTCTAACTTATTTTCCAAACGAACCCAAATATGGTATTCTTATTTTAGTACGGAGTATTTTCTTTATATTTTACTGATAGTTTAAATCTTTTTCCGCACATTTTTCAGCAATATAACTTTACTACAGAGTATTTTTTTTTTTAATAATTGTGTCAAAATTCTGTTATGGTATGTTTGGGAACATGGATTTGGATTTCAAATCCGAATTTGGCTCAAATTCCATATTTGCGAAACTTAAATATTTTGAATTTGGATTTGAGTCATTTTCCTTCATAACAAAGTTTAATTTGAAATTCATGCACATCCCCTTGTCATTTGAAATTCAAGATTTCAAATTTTGGAATTGAAATGCATGAATTGAAATTAAATGTTATAGAATTTTGAAAAAAAATATTGTCCTTAAAAATGAATGGAATCATGGATGCAGATTTTACATAGACGAAATTCCAATAAGAGAGATGGTAAGGAACGAAGCGATGGGAGGGGATTTCCCACAGAAGCCCATGGGCCTATACGCCACAATATGGGACGCTTCAGATTGGGCCACGTCCGGCGGGAAGTACAAGGTCAACTACAAATACGCCCCATTTGCGGCCCACTTCACCGACCTCGTCCTCCACGGCTGCGCCGCCGATCCTCTGCAGCAGGTGGTTCTCGACCCCGGTTGCGACGGCGGATCCGATGCTGACGTGGTGACGCCGAAGCAGAGAGCGGCCATGGACCGGTTCAGGCACAAGTACATGTATTATTCCTACTGTTACGATTCCGTCAGGTACCCTGAGCCGTTGCCGGAGTGCGTGGTTGACCCGGCGGAGAGGACCCGGTTCAAGGAGACTGGGCGGCTCAAGTTCGAGCGCCGCCGCCGTCACCGTCCGAGATCTGCGTCAAGAAGTGAGGGTATTTTTGGGAAGGGCGGTTACAAAAGTAGCAACCATTATGAATATTAGTTGTGTGCCATTATTTAATTTTAATTTTTTTAAAAAAAAATTTATTTGGGATTGGGTTTTGTTGTTTTTATGGCCAGTATATATATGATTTATGTCGAAATGTTATAAACAGTAAAGATTATAGGGAGAAATGCTTCTTTTCTTTGTGAATAGTGTTAGAGATTATTAGTGTCAGCGTTTTGAAAATGCTATTTACAGATAATGTTTAACGTTAGCGTTTTTAAAGTAAATTATACTGTTAAAATTTTATCCAAAACACTAATGCAATTCTAAAATAAACCATTAATCTATATTTCTAACACTTTCTTTTGAGTGGAATATGGTCTCATTTCCATTGTTTTGAACTTGGATTATGCTACGTGTACCCCAAAGTTTGTACCCCGCAGTTTTGCACCAATACTTTGTGTTGGTGTAAAACTAATTTTTGTTAAACGCACCAACATTTGTGTCCGTGTGAATTTTTATTAACGCACCAACACTTGTGTCGGTGTAAACCATTGAAATGTTTGTGCAAACCTGCGGTGTACAAATGGAGTATATTTTTTGGTGTAAGTGTAGCATGGTCCTTTGAACTTTGATATGGAGCATTTGTAAGTGCTTTGATTTATACAGTGACAACTTACATGACATGTCCCAATTAAATCTAGAGCTTTCTTAGTATTAAAACATACGAAATAAGTCATTTCTCAATGTAGGACTTAAAATTTTTTATTTTCTAAATAGGACTTAATAATGATTAGTGAGAAGAACAATGTCTAAATGATGCTGGACATTTAGTTGAATGATGACTAATAAATAGTAACCAACGGTCCCACATTGGAAAATAAAAACATAAAGTGATTATGTTTTAGTCTCATTTAAGTAATTACCCTTCTTAAAATTCATTATTATTATTAGGTTTTAATTTATTCATTAAGGGGAAAACGAGACACTTGATGAATTCTGTTAGGCCTCCAATGCAAACAAATGAAAGAAAAGAAAAGAGAGCACACAAATTTTTAACGTGGTTCGGCACCTCAAGACCTACTCCACGACCCCCTCTGTGATAAAATCTCACTAGTAATTTTTGCACGGAAAAATTACAAACCCTCTCCAAAATTTGACACTCACAACCTAAAATCTAATACACAATTATATATATTGAAGGATTGTGTTGTGTGTTGGAAGCCTATATCCCCTCTTTATTTATAGGCTTCAATCCCTCCTCAATTTCTCTATCCCACCGATGTGGGACTTTGAAGTAACACTCAACAAATCTCCCCTTAATTCAAAGTCCTACATCATTTGCGATTTCTGCAGCGATACTCCCATCCTGCAGAATCTTCTGTCCAGCAGTACTCTTATCTTCAGAAGAGATCATCTTCATAAGTGATCACATTTGCGGAAGAAGCTTTCTTCGATTTGCCCTTCTTCTCCTTTAGGATCTGCAAGTCCTCCTTGAGTTCTGGACAACCGTTATTCGTGTGACCCAACTTTTCACAATAATAGCACCTAACAGTGCTCATGTCTCTCAGCTGAGAGCCTGAGATCTTCTCCAAAGTTGGTCACTCTTCTTCTTCCTCCCTTTCTCAACACTCACAGCAGCTAGTAAATGACTGTCCCCGGAAGACTCTTCACCTCCCATCATCCTTTGACTCTCCTTCAAGGCAGTCGTCACCTCATCTAGTCGCAGTGTAGTCCTTCCTGCTATCATTGACTGCACAAACGGCTTAAAGGATTTTGGTAGTGAAGCCAGTAGAAGCAGCCCTTGCTCTTCATCCTTGATAGTCTCCCCTGCATTTAACAGCCTTGATACTTGCTCATTAAACTTGTTGATGTGATCAATTACGCTACCTCCCTCTTCCATCTTCAGTGAGTACAAGTCCATCCTCATCATCAACCNGTTAGTAAGTGTCTTCGACGCAAACTTGCTCTCCAACGTTTCCCACAGCTTCTTTGGTGATGTCTCTTTCAGCACTGTCACTGTAATCTGTGGGGACAGTGCCAACCGAATTGTGCTGACAGCCTTCTTCTGGATTGTACTCCACTCTGATTCTTTCATATCATTTGGCTTCTCATCTTGCAATGCTAAATCAAGACCTTGCTGGACCAAATAGTCTTGAATCGTGCATTGCCACAACATGAAGTCCGCTCTTCCATCAAATAACGGAACTTCAAACTTCAAGGTAGTCATAGTTCCACTCAAGCATCAATCAACCAATACCAAACAATCCAAATTTGAGGAAACTGGCCTAAAAAATGGAATCAGGACGTCAAAATTAGTCAGAACTAACTTCTCTCCGAAATCACCAACGGGACCCACACAATGAATGGACCTGCTGATGTGGCAATGGGACCCACTGATGACTGGACTCGCTGACGTGGTGCTGACTGGATGATGACGTGGCACTCGGACCCACAAACTGCTGACGTGGCACTCACAGACCCACCTATGCTGACTGGACCACCACCTCCTCCGCTGAAGTGGCACTCCCTCCTCTTGCTCCTTGATCAATCTTCTTCCTCCCTAGACTGCAACTCTGTAATTAATAATTCTTTTCTGATGTGAAAGATCAGTCAAAGCTGCAACCACAAAGGATACTAAGAATTATAATTACTAGATCACCCGGGCTCTGATACCACTTGGTAAGCCTCCAATGCAAACAAATGAATGAAAAGAAAAGAGAGCACACAAATTTTTAACGTGGTTCGGCACCTCAAGACCTACTCCACGACCCCCTCTGTGATAAAATCTCACTAGTAATTTTTGCACGGAAAAATTACAAACCCTCTCCAATATTTGACACTCACAATCTAAAATCTAATACACAATTATATAGATTGAAGGATTGTGTTGTGTGTTGGAAGCCTATATTCCCTCTTTATTTATAGGCTCCAATCCCTCCTTAATTTCTCTATCCCACCGATGTGGGACTTTGAAGTAACACTCAACAAATTCAACGGTAATCAACCATTTTTTGTCAAAGATTTTTTTATTTAGTCATTTTAAAATATAAGTAACGAAGGAAGAGTTTGAAAGTGGCTAATTGAAATCAATATTACATTGACCAAAACTGCCATGAGTTAATCAAATTTGAATCCAATCCATCTTTAATTTGATCATAATAAAGTTGAGTGAAACTACCAGAATCTCAATAAATAAAAGGCAACGACCTATTTTTCATATTTTAGTTGAAAGTTTTAGAAACAAAGAAAAAATATGAGACATAACACCATGAGGAAAAATAATTTGGACTCTCACAAAACTGTTAATAATAAATTCACAGTTCGAAGAGCGAATCACTTGCCTCCTCATCACAAAACACACGTCGTATTCAAATTAATATTACATGTTTGGAGAAAAACTTTCGTTGAGGATGTAATTTTTTAAATACAATAACTAATCTTGTTTTAGTTGATAATCCAAAATGTGATTCCCATTAATTAAGTTCCTGTTCTTTTATGTTGGAATTTCAGAGTTGAATGTTGGAAAAAACTGGAAGGGGTTGAAAAAATTGAAAGAAGTTAAAAGAAACTGGAAAGAAATGAAAAATGTTGAAAGAATTAAAGTATTAAAAACGCACTCGATTAAATGATAACCAAAATAAATATGTAAGCAACCTTTAATGTTGTATAAAAAAGAATACTTCCTTCCGTATTTGAGGTGATATGTTATAAAATTTGATATATAATGTTATTGTATATTTATCATATATAAATATTTTTTTTAAGTCTTTGTTGGAAGAAATTAGCTAGAAAGAATTGGAAGGAACTCGAATAAGTTTCAAAAAATTAAAAATTAATTTTTCCATTACCCAATAAGTTCTTGTCCATATATAGTAAGGCCTAAAATGTGACTAGTCACAAGCATTTTGATCTATCTAGCATTCATTGCTAGTGTATAGCAATGCTTTGTCAATCAAAATACTCGCGTACAAAAATGAGGTATGTTTCATAGGACTATTCTAGGATGCCACCACATGAGTGCTACCATGGGTGTACCCATGTTTCGCACAGACAAACACATACGATAATTGTCTGTGCAACACAGACAATTATCGTCTGTGTTTATCTGTGCAAAGCATGAGTGCATTCATGGTAGCACCCATGTGGTGGCACCCTAGCATTTTCCATGTTTCATATGGTAACACTAGGATTATCCATACGAGAATACAATAAAGTTGAATGATGAGATTCTTCCGTCCATCTTTATACTACTGTACACAAATATTATACCAAGTATTGTTTTAGAGTTTGTTTTATAAAAAGAATGTAATTAAGGGTGAATATTCTTATATTCATTTCTGATTAAACTACATATCATTTTCGAGTAATGAACTAAATACTTATTTTTCTAATCGTCAGTTATGTTCAAAAATGAGTATCCAGTTACTCGAAAATAAATACGGAGTATTGTGTTACTCGAAAATAAGTATTCATGCAGATCTACAAGAAACACCATACATTTGGATGTAAGATAAAAGTGTTCATTTGTGTCATTTTTTTCTTATTCTCTGTGCATATCTGTAAAAAAAATGGGTGGTAAAAATATGGGTGCGCTTCGTGGTATTACCGAAATCCATCAAGAATAATTTTTATTAAAATTGTTCAGTATCGATACGAGATGATTTTTAAAAAACCATTCAGTACCATTTCATTTTAAAATAAATTCTATAATACTATACCATTCTAAAACCGTGTCAAAAAATAAACATGCATAATATTAAACTAATAGCACAAGTTTGTAAAAAAACACGTACAATTTTGTTAAAAACTAATTATTTCGAAAGACATTGCTTTGTTTTTCAGTTCGTACAATATCAAAATATTAATAACTCCAAAAAATAGTGCTCATAATAGTATTAAATATATTAAAGACAATAATAATGAAAGAATATTACAAAAAGAAAAATCAAATATAATACGAAATATTGCATATACGCAAAGATGAAGTAGACAAATTAGTATTTGACATACTCTGTAGATAGTTTTAAATGATCTCGTCAGTGATAATCAGTTTTAAATTTTTGAGTCATGGTCCTATCTCGTTTGATATCGGTTCAGTTTTAGTTCGGGATGATAACAATCAATTCTGTTATAAATAGTATAAATGATTCAATATCATTATGGTTAGTATAGTACCATGTTAATTCAAAATTTTTGCCCATAAAAATGTAAAAATGTATGGTTACATGGATATATTCTTGCTTTATAAGTTTGATTTTTAAAATTATGGCTTATAATGTGTGCACATATTTTTAACAA